TATCTACAACAAATAAGTCTATTAACTACACATTTCATTTCTAAAGCGAATTCCTGCGATCTGAATTTATTTTAAAGTAAAATGAATTAGGGAGTTCATGTAACAAAATAGGAACATTATATATATATATATATATATATATATATATATATATATATATATATATATATATATATATATATATATATAATGAAAAAATGTTACAGTGGCAATACAGGTTAACCTTTTGCTTGAACAATAAAGGTCAAAAATATCACAATTTTGTATCGATACTAAATTCTGCATAAGTAATATAGATAAAAATGAAAATTGAGAAATAAGTGGCTATTATATTTCATAGAAAAAAAACCAAAAAAGGCTCTGAATCCGTTTGTTTTCAATTCTTTGATTTTTTAATATAACATTTCTATGTTTGTTATCTATGTGATTAAAGTTCAAAAGGTAAAACTGAGTTTTATTTCATGTACAAGAGATGTTTTGATTTTCGTATTAACGTTTAAGACTGTAATTGATCAGTCTATTTTAGCATATTTGTATCTTGTACGAATAGCTTCGATATTGTCGTTAAGTTACAAGCATTATAAACGAAGACAGCTGTTATATCCTGGCGAAGATTAAATAACGAGTAACTTCTGAGAACTATTAGTGGACTAACATTATATATATATATATATATATATATATATATATATATATATATATATATATATATATATATATATATATATATAGCCACTGACTTGTGCAATAGCGGACCTAGTAGATAAGTGGATAACGCGATGACGTTTAAAGAGAATGGTAATAGGTTCGAGTTCCAGAGTGGACATCGAATCTAGAGTAAAGCATATCCTATTAACGAGTCCCAAATAGGAAGAAACGCGTATCTTAGATTCCAGTGCTAGTTATCATCCATCTCTGCTTCACAAAACTGACTTATAAAACTAATGAAACAGAAAGTCAAATAGTATTGTTATAAATATTTGTTATTAATTAGTGTTTAAAAATAAGGTAAAAAGATACTTAGCATTTAGCGAAATGATGCTGTTACGCATTTAATGTTAAAATTTCTAAAGGCGGGGTGGGATAATAAGCTGTAAAATGGATTTCAAATTCATTGTAAATAACCACTTTCTCAGTAACTGAATTAATCACTGGTAACATCAGAAACATAATTGGTGTATTAAACTACTGGAAAGACAAAAATTCCAAAAGAAAGTCTTATTTATTATTTGGATTGGAATATATTACTAATGTTGTCAATAAATCTAAGATAATGCTAATTTTTTTTAAAAAAATGAATAAATTCAGTCTGAAAGGTTTTGTTCAAGGATAGAAAAAGTTAACTTTTAAATGAAACAAGTATATGAAAAGATGTAAGTTTAATTTCCATGGCCATTAGAAAGACAAAATTAGGAAAAAATAAAGTTTTGTTTGCTATAAAGCTAGATAGAATAGAGAGTAGTTTATGTGATCATGGATTGATATCTAATGAGAATTTCAGAAGTTGAGGATATTAACTAATTAAGAAATAATTACCATAGTCTACCAACTTTTTTTTTGTTTTAGGGTTTAATCTTAACATGGTTATTGAATAACGAAAAACAGTAGTGTTGTAAAACATTAACTCGATGGTCAACCATATTTATACAAGTTGTTACTCCAATTGATCTCAGGTAGGTTGAATTTCTTGTTCAACTGTAAAATAAATTCGGTAACTCAAGTTATTTCACAAGAAACGTTTGTAGCATGATATTTAAAACGTCTTCAGTTTGGCGAATAGTTCCAAGATAAATAGCCGGTACAAGGTTCAAAACTTCAACTAACCCTAAGATTTGCTCATTCAGTGGCTTTAATTCTATCGAGATACTTCTGATAGTCTCTGTATGGCGAAATATCAACGTGATATAGTATCACTAGGCAAAGTGATGTGTAGTTCACTTGAAGATAATTAATATTGATGAAACATTCATAAATCGAAATTAAAGTTCACATTACTAACAACCAGTGTAATAAAACGTTTATTACTACAATCAGAAGAGGAATCATGAAGGTAAAGATATTAGATATTAAAAATCCATTGGAGATAGAGTCCAGGACCTACAGGTTACGCGGCAAGCATTATCATCCACTATCTTGAAAATGCCCTTACACTAACCAAGCTCGTTGTTCACCTTTATTTACATATAGCAAATTATTTAACTGACAAAACTTACGGCTAATGACTAGTATAAGATTGTGCTATATACTACTGCCTTTCAGTTTTAATCATCTTAAATAATGATGATGGATCATATCTATCATAGTATATTTATAAATATTGGCTATCAAGGGTCAATATAATCATTCTTACTTATAACATTTTATTAGAATAACTAAAATTCGTGATTAAAAATTTCCAGTACCATCTGTAAAGCAAATAAACTGGCATCTGTCCACAAATTTATATACCTTCTTTGTCACTTCTCTAGATATATCTTACTCATCACGTGTCTGTAACTTATTTTTGTGTGACTATAAATATCGATTCATACTGCCTTAAATTGAGTTGGCTGACTTGGATTCTTCATTGAGCGTTATTTCGCTTCGCTCTCTTCTTTTCGCTTCATTTCTCTGACTGTCTGTCCAGATCAATGAGTACACAAAATATACGTATTCAAAAATCCCTTCTCGTATTTAACTTATTTAATTCCGTTAATCACCAACGCAATTTAAGTCTATGATTATATACGAGGATTAGCGACATGTATATTTCGAAAACCATCACTTGTCCGATCTATCTGGAGTCAGATATTCTAGGGCCACAAAAAACTTATTATAGCTTATTTATCAGGTATAATGTTGCATATTTGGTTTCGAGAAAGACCTTAACTGTGAAGGCTAGTAATGATATTTATTTTTTAAACCGAAGTATTTGGAGCAAAGTTCGTACCGATGATTTAGTGGCTAGAAATAAAACGTCTTAATTATTGAGCTATCGCTCCATTAGTTCATGAAGAAAACCATCTACATTTTATTTTATAATCATTGGATAACTTTTTATGAAATTTCTGATTGAGAGATAAAAATCAATTGTATTTTGCAGAATTACTACCTACACAGAATATCAGTTTATTAGTTTTATAAGTTTCCTGATGATGTACAATCGGGTTTGAGAGAGTCAAGATTAACACAAGAGCGAAACATATTTTTTTGTCATGTAACAACTAAATAAGGAAAAGTCTAGACATATAAAATAAATCAAATGTAAATTAACCATCATTGAGATATTTATTAGTGATTTCCTGTTGATAAGACATAATCACCCAATACTACAAGTTGTTTAACATTGTGATATGAAATTAATGTATTAAAGTTATCTGAATGAGGTGATAGCCTTTATCGCTAGTACTATGAAGAATAATTTATGAGAACGCGTAATAATGAACCTTATGAAATCAATGTATTTGAATTAGGTAATAATTAACATTGTTCACAAACATATCAATAAACTTATTTGAGTCTTCAGTATTGAACTATATCGTTGAGAGTTCAATTTAATTTTATAAAGAAAGGTAATTTAGACGTTTTTAACTCATGCTATCCATGAATTGTCAAAGGCTTCATGGTTTAGACGAAAAATTCATTTAAGATTTTTTAAAGCTACGTTCAGAGTGACAACCGGTATTTATTTATTGAAGATTGTGATTGTCAATTAGTTAGTGTTCAAGGTTAATACTCGTATGAATATCTGTATGTAAATGACATATCACACAAAGAAACGTTCAAGCTTCTTAACATAGAGTTATGTTAAAAGCATAATGGTAAACTTAATAAAAATAGCTATCAATAATAGGGCGAGACTCTAATTTATGGACGACCTTTGAACAAGTCTTAAGTGACCTTGGGAATATTAGCTAATCAGCAAATAGTTAGTATAGAGTAAAAATATATCGTAAAACACCAAGGTAATAAATAAGATACACTTCTTATACGTGGTTCAAAAACTTGTCAAGGTTAGAAAGAGGTTCAGAGGTTCTAAAATTGTAATGCATGCAGTAGAGGAAATCATCCATACGGCTACAGAACAGTCGGCCTCTGGAGCCATGATAAAGCCTCGACCACATAGCTTCAATATTGTTTATGTGCACTTCGGTTGTTGAGTACACAAAATGTCACTTGTAGATAACGACACGATGCACATAAACAAGCCTATGTAGGAGTCTGTACGCTCTCCAAATCATCTGTATATATTGTAGTAACTGGCTGCAGCCAGTGTTACTGGTGCATTTATTATTCAGTTCGTGACAATTATCATAATTTGCCTTAGTTATATATGGGGTTTTCATCACGAACTGACATCAGCTATAATGCCAGAAATTTATTTAGCCAGATGGATGAAAGGCTTTCGCACCAAAATCCGAGATCTGTTATCTTATATCTGATTGATTCGTCCACAAATTATAGTCTCGCCGTTTTATTTGTTATAACCGCTCAATTATCACGTTTGTACAAAATTCCCTGTGAACCGACCGCACGTTAGCGTTAAGCACTGAAGTTGGCGCCGTAATCTTGAAATCTGTAAAACGCTTCTGATTACCTCGTCCAGAAATTAGAGTCTCGCCAATAATAGATAGCAAAATACATTGAAGTGAACTGTGTTATTCAACTAACTACAGTAAAAATCAAAAGAATGATAAAGAATAAATGTATTGTGTAGATTACTTGAATTTACGGATGGTGCTTAAAACATTCTTAGATGATATATGAAGAACTGGAACAAAAATATCTTTGAGTAATAGCATAACAGTAGATGTTTCTATTTTCTTTCAAATTATCCCAAAGATGAAAGTAAAACAACATAGAATAATTGTCTATGCAAAGAATTTACTGAATTGATTAAAGCCATACATAAAACATATATGAGTAACAAATAATAATAATAATAATAATAATAATAAAATTAATGATTTACAATAACTAAATTTGACACAATAATCTTTATAAACCACAAAAATACTATACTACATCAAACAAGAAAGTTGATATTCAAGTTTTTCCATTTTTCTTTCTATTACTTCAATCTACAAAAAAATATTAAAGAAAACAAGAAAAATAAAATAGAATACAAAAAAATTAGATTGATTAATTAAACTATTAATTCAATATGACCACTCATATGTGCAACTTCAAATCACATACAAACATTAACATATAAGTATCTAGTTGAATTGACCAATATCTGAAACTAAAACTGATTAGGTAATACAGAGAAATAATAATATAGAAATAGAAAGCTAAACACTTTAATCATTTTGTTTTAAACCGCTAGATTGAATTCGTTGATAAATTAAATAATACAATATGATATATAAGCCGCTATAAATGTTTGATTTCATGAATCATATAAAAAGTGACCTTAGATACATCAATAACATACAAGTTAGTGAATTTAAATTGTTTGTACTTTGTAATGAATGAAATTTGTGATTTTATTGTAGAGTTCTTTTTAATGAGATGTAGTTTCTGATCCTACGCAATACTTCCCTCTTTCATTATACACTTACAATCGGTAGTAGATATCAAGAGAGGCTTTTGGCAGAGGTTTATGCTTTATCTTATTTCCGAACTAAAACTTAAGTGACAGATATAATATCCTGTTTAACCGATAAATAATTTTCGGTAAACAGTAAAATGAAAATTAATGATGAAACACTCCACTATTTTATTACAAGCTATTACATGGCATTATTTAAGAAAATGATACTATTGAAAAGAAAATTCACTTCGCTGGACTATTATTATTTTGTTCAACGTCTTAACATGTTTTTTTCGTTGTCTTTTTTGATAATACAGGACAAAGTGACTTATATCAATGAAGGAATTACTTATACTAAATCATAGTTTTAATAATGTTCACTTAGATCGAACTTGTAGCTTAACAGTTAAGGCGTACATCATTCTATCTGAGCATTATAGGCTAGATAATACTTATGCAGTTTATAATGAGATGTCATGGGATCAAATGAAACACCAGATTCAATGAGTTAGAATAATTGTTCAGCTGTTCAATAAAACAAACTTCAAATAAAATATTCCAAGATACTATACATAACATCATAAACTATAAAACGAATTAGGAATTAGTGTAAAATTTATTTTCATTCAAACCAAATAAGGTTAATTAAAGGAATCTATTAACATTTTAATCTAGGGATATATACTACTTCCGGACATGAAGAAGAAAATGCCCCACATGCACAAGGAGTAGCATTGATGCTTTCCAAACAAGCACAAAATGCACTTATAGGATGGGAATCTCATGGACCAAGGATCATTAAAGCCTCCTTCAAAACAAAGAAAGAGGGCATTTCAATGAACGCCATCCAATGCTACGCGCCTACCAACGACTACAATGAAGACGCTAATGATCAATTCTACGATAGGCTGCAGTCAATCGTCGAGAAGTGCCCAACAAAGGACCTGACTATTCTGATGGGAGATTTAAATGCCAAAGTTGGAATGGACAACACCGGATATGAAGAGATCATGGGACGACACGGACTCGGAGAAAGGAACGAAAATGGTGAGAGATTTGCAAACCTATGTGCCTTCAATAAACTGGTCATAGGCGGCACTATATTCCCACATAAACGCATCCACAAAATCACATGGACTTCACCGGATCACACTACGCAAAACCAAATCGACCATATCTGCATTAACAAAAAGTTCAGGAGGACGATGGAGGACGTGAGAACCAAAAGAGGAGCTGATATAGCATCAGATCATCACTTGCTGGTCGCCAAGATGAAATCGAAACTCAAGAGGCACTGGACAACGGGGCGGACAATATCACAAAAATTTTATACGGCTCTCCTTCGGGATAATGACAAACTCAATAAATTCAAGATAGCCCTCAGCAATAAGTTCCAAGCCTTTCATGATCTACTCAATGGAGAAGAAACTACTATGGAGAGCAACTGGAAACAGATAAAAGAGGCAATCACTTCAACATGTCATGAGGTTCTGGGCCAAAAGAAGCACCACCACAAGGATTGGATCACGTTGATACACTGAATAAAGTTCAAGAAAGGAGGAACAAGAAAGCAGCAATCAACAACAGCCGGACTAGAACAGAAAAAGTCAAGGCACAAGCTGAATACACAGAAGTAAACAAGCAAGTGAAGAACAGCATCAGAACTGACAAACGTAAATATGTGGAAGATTTAGCAATGACGGCGGAAAAGGCTGCCAGAGAAGGAAACATGATACAACTGTATGAAACAACAAAGAAACTCTCTGGAAATCACCGTAAACCAGAACGACCAGTGAAAAACAAGGAAGGCAAGATAATCACCAACATTGAAGAACAACGAAACAGGTGGGTAGAATACTTCAAAGAACTCTTGGATCGACCAGCCCCACTGAACCCACCCAACATCGAAGCAGCACCCACGGACCTCCCAATTGATGTTGGCGCACCGACAATTGAAGAAATCAGCATGGCTATCAGACAAATCAAGAGTGGCAAAGCAGCAGGACTGGGCAGCATTCCAGCAGAGGCACTGAAAGCAGACGTAGCGGCAACTGCAAGGATACTCCAAACTCTCTTCAGAAAGATCTGGGATGAGGAACAGGTACCAAAAGACTGGAAAGAAGGACTTCTAGTCAAAATACCAAAGAAAGGCGATCTCAGCAACTGTGACAACTACAGGGGAATCACTCTCCTTTCAATACCAGGAAAAGTCTTCAACAGGGTATTGTTAAACAGGATGAAGGACTCCGTAGACGCACAACTTCGAGACCAACAGGCAGGATTCCGTAAGGATAGATCGTGCACAGACCAAATCACAACTCTACGGATCATTGTGGAACAATCAATTGAATGGAATTCATCACTCTTCATCAACTTCATTGACTACGAAAAAGCATTTGACAGCGTGGACAGAACAACACTATGGAAGCTTCTTCGACACTATGGCGTGCCTGAGAAGATAGTCAATATCATACGGAGTTCCTATGATGGATTAAACTGCAAAATCGTGCATGGAGGACAGTTGACAAACTCCTTCGAGGTAAAGACCGGTGTCAGGCAAGGTTGCTTACTCTCACCCTTTCTCTTTCTCCTGGTGATCGACTGGATCATGAAGACATCAACATCTGAAGGGAAGCACGGGATACAGTGGACAGCTAGGATGCAATCGGATGATCTGGACTTCGCAGACCATCTGGCTCTTCTATCGCATACGCAACAACAAATGCAGGAGAAGACAACCAGTGTAGCAGCAGCCTCAGCAGCAATAGGTCTCAATATACACAAAGGAAAAAGCAAGATTCTTCGATACAACACAGCATGCACCAATCGAATCACAATTGACGGAGAAGATTTGGAAGACGTAAAAACCTTTACATATTTGGGTAGCATCATCGATAAACACGGTGGATCCGATGCAGATGTGAAGCCACGGATTGGCGAAGCAGGAGCAGCATATTTACAACTGAAGAATATCTGGAACTCAAAACAATTGGCAACCAATAACAAAGTCAGAATTTTCAATATAAATGTCAAGACAGTTCTACTGTATGGGTCGGAAACCTGGAAAACTACGAAATCCATCGTCCAAAAGATACAGGTGTTTATTAACAGTTGTCTACGCAAAATACTTTGAATCCGTTGGCCAGATACTTTTAGCAACAACCTACTGTGGGAGAGAACAAATCAGATCCCAGTGGAGGAAGAAACGCTGGAAGTGGATAGGACACACATTGAGGAAAACACTCAACTGTGTCACAAGTCAAGCCCTCACATGGAATCATCAAGGCCGAAGGAGGAGAGGAAGACCAAAGAACACATCACGCCGGGAAATGGAGATAGACATGAGAAAAATGAACAAGAATTGGATGGAACTGGAAAAGAAGGCCCAGGATAGAGTGGGTTGGAGAATGCTGGTCGGCGGCATATGCTCCATTGGGAGTAACAGGCGTAAGTAAGTAAGTAAAGTAAGTATATACTACTTAGTATCTTCCCGGAAGTAAAAGACAACGTTAAATTATTGAGTCTTACAAAATTAGATGTAATGAATAATGGTCATAGAGTTGAGTTATTAAACTGTTTCAAAATATTTATTTTTTTAAAGCTCATTTTATTGGTTTAAATGATCATTTTAGCGTTTAATACAATTCTCTATTTTTCTTTTTACCACAAAGGGACTGAATGGCTTTTGCTCTGCAGAAACTGAAAAGCATCCTGACGAAACGGATGAATAATGATTGAACACATAAGAATACCGACGTATCTTTATTACCTTAGATTGATTTGTTTCATGTGCATTCTCTTTGCTCTTTTTCATTTTCCCTATTTTTATCAGCTCCTCTTTACGTTTACATAATTTATCAATACGAAGTTGTAATTTATTTCTAGCCCAATTAAGATCATATTCCTGTATAATAAAATTAAATTAAAGCATACATCATTAATAAAAATATACGATGAAATGTTAATTAATAGAAATACTTTTAACAGGAATGTAATATTGTAGCTCAATGAATTACGTCCATTTTAATTTCAAACACATGAGTGATGAAATCGCATCGTTTTTTGTGCTAAAGATTGGACAGCCAAGTCTTGTATTCGGAGTACACATATACGAACTTTAACAAGTTTAGTGTGTTGAGTCACGCGCCTTAAGATGTAATATTTACAGGTATAATAAAGCTATAAACAAAGCAACTGGATGACTACGAAAATATGTGTTTACAAACAATTTTTCTTCAAATAATCTGTCGCTTGTAAAATGTAGTAATTTGTAGATACTTTTATTATTCATCTTAGAGTTCAAATAAAAATGATACAAATTAGATCTTCCTTTTGATCCTAATAGTTAAACGTTGAGCGTGTGGGTGATTATAAAGAGCAGAAACCAATCAACGAACTAATTATCAGGTAATTACTATCAGCTAGCTTTCAGATGGATTTCCAGTGTTCTAGTGTAAATCTGTGACAGGAGGAGTTAGGTTATATCCAATGTGTAACAGATATCATCGATAATATTGGATAATGATTAAACTTCTGCATTAACTGAACTTGAAAATTCACTGAATTAGGTTTTGGCTGATTGATCAATTGTAGCATACTTGGAAGACTAAAAGATCCTACGCTTGATTTTACATAGAGTTTATGAGCGTGAGTAGAGAAAAAGCCTTCTCTACTGATATATGTATTCATAGAAAGATGTGACACGTTTTTAATGCTTTATCATATTGATTTCTCAAGTTTATGATTCACAGTAGCGGAGAACGTAATTTAAAGTCCCCAGTGAGGAAGCTATCTTTTAGATATTTGCTAATTGAAAGTTTTATAACTGGAACAAATACTGTACATAATCTTAGAAATCTTTTGAATGGTTTTACTAAAATTCAAGTACTTGTGATGTTTTTCCTGTGGTATTCGAAAAATAAACGATTGATTTAATTATTCGTTCCAAACTATATTATTTCGCTTTTAAAGAGACAATAATAACCATATTTCCGCCTCATAGTTTTGGGTTGAATTTCACTCACTGAGCTGGATAGTTTGATAGTGGAGCTTTCGTTGTTCTTCTGAACAACATCATCTGCACAAACTTCAGGTAGAAGTGAAGTTTGTACAGATGATGTTGTTTAGAAGAACGATGAAAGCTCCACGACCAAATTATTTAGCTTAGAGAACAAAACTATACATAAATCATCCACCTGAGCTACAAATCATATTCGTCATCTCGAAAGAAGAGTTTGTTTGTATGTCATCAGGCTTAATACTTTTTTGAATTGTTTCAAAGTTGTGTAAACCCATATGTTTAAACTCTAAAAACAAAATCGTACATATTCAGGAAAAGTTAAATATGAGGGTTCTGTAATCAAACAACATCATTGAAAACAGTTTGAGAATTCTTAATGCTATACCGATAATCATTAGGTGGCAGAATATTAAGAGAGTTTTCATTTGCTTGCTTTCAATCACAAGGATTAATACGTTAGGTGGCTAAAATTTTACTTTATTTAACCGATCAATGATGATACATACTTATTCGATTGTTATAAATAGCATACCAAAAATTATCGAAATAAATTCATGGAAAATTTAAGATAAATCAAATATCAACTTACATTCTTATTTATACATAAATGCCAATCAGCTTGATCATTATGAACAGGTATATAAACATAAGTACTGCTTTTTAGCATATCTGACTTCAAGTTAATAGATGTAAGCGCTTTCAAAACAGCAGATTCATCTTCTGAAATATTTGAATCACTAGAGTTTTTTATCAAATAAATACCACCAGATTCAATTTTCTTTAATTCTGTGGGATTTTCTGATTTATCATGATGAATAGATCGGAGTAAAGTACGCCAAGAATTGACATTTGAAGCTACTGTAGTTAGTTCAGACATGATTTCTTGGACACGATCCAATGAAATATCATAGTTATTCTGATACAAGAATTCAAACTGCAACAACAATAATATTTACAGACTATGTTTTGATAAAAACAAGTAAATGATACAATTATATTATTGGGTATATAACCAGAAAGTACGATGAAAGAATTTCTGACAGTGGCAAGACACACAATCGTATGGAGTAATATGTATTTTAATCAAATACAACCGGGATTTGTGTGCGTTACCTTTAACCTATTGATTGACCATTTAGGTCATTTATACTAATAACAATCTATGAGTTGAGAAAGTCGATATGGCTAAACACTGACTACAGTGGTGTATGTTTCCCACACGTTACCCTATGACATCATTTTTCGTTCACTGAACTATAAATTCACAAGTGTTTATTTTACCACTGAAAATGGTATTTTTATTTTAACCCCTTTATTAATCATCAGGCCACATTTTTCAATGTATTGACATTAGATGCTGAGATCTAGAATTTTAGGTTAGACACGGCAGGTAGATCGGTAAAAATTAACTAACAGATAACTGTTATTTTTTAGCTGTTTGATAAAATAGAAAGTGAATCAATGGAAAATAGAATGACATCATTAATAATTCCAGTACTATATATATTGATTACATACCCATTTACAATTAGGAAATTGTTGCATCAATAAACTGTTTTCTGGATTATGAAACTCGTCTTTCTGTTCAATACTAATATTTAAACCATGCCAGAGAACTTCAGTTAAATGTGGCATAATTGGATGAAATATATGAATGCCAGTCATTAGACAAAGATATAAGATATGCAAAGAATTGGTGTTGTATGGTGTAGAAACTAGATGAAAAAAAGAGAAAACAAATTGCTAAATATGAGGATAATAACAATGAACCATATGAGAGTGAGGCATTATTCTTTATTTTCATCAAAAGAAGAAACTTTGTATTTTTAATAAATATACTGATGATGTTATATTTGGCAGGCATATACGTATGTATACGTTCGTATTCAAACTAGTAACTCTGTTCAATTGAGCGTCTTTTAAAATATGCTAAGTTCAATACGTTAAAAAAATACTTTTTAAATCATAAAACATCATTATACTCATAACCCATTCTCTCACTTTGACGACCTGAACAGTTAATGTTTGTGGGTAAGTTGGTTAACGTTTACCTAATTTACAGATATAAATAAAAAGAATGTTGTATTATGGTATCGTTTCTTTTTAAATCGTAAACATATATTGTATTGAAATGTATTTGGGTTAGCGGAAACAATGATAACATGGGTTAAATGTTGCTAAGTTACAACGTATAAACTCTCAAAAATATATTTCTTGTTATATTCATTAGAATAGAATAAGGTAAATTGCATCAATTTTATTTTGAAATAATCTTGACAATTATGGACAAAACAATAAAATATCAACTAAAGAGTCATTCATAAGAAACATAAAATCTAGAACATATGTGGATCAGCTGAGGTTACCACAAAACATTAATATAACGAGATGAGATTATTCGATAAAGGAAGGCATTTTATCCAACATCTCCAACCATTGATTACGATAGTGCTGATTGCTTCAACCAGTCAGCATGCACCTATTAACACATAGCTCATATCAACAACAAATGATTCTATAAACTGAAGGTATGTTCTGATTTGGCTACTCCTAGCTCTTTTTAAACTTACTCCTTCTACAATAACTAAATTCGCACGACCACGTTGGCGGTTGTTGAAGCACCCAAGTAAAGTTCTTTCTATTTTGTATGATTTAAACTTAATTTAATAATTTTCTGTAAACTAGACAGAATAAATATTGATTATGGATAGTGTATGTGTGCTGAATTGACTATGATATAACTCAAACATTGAAATTTTAATGATAAACAATTAATTAGAAATGTTTTTAAGACGTTTGTTTTTATTGAAAATTAGTAGACTAAATTTTAAATAGTACAACTAATCATGAGGGCTAATTTCAGTAAAAGAACACAATGACATGATGGATTCACAATAACAAAAATATCACTACATAGTGACTCGTCAATATTTTGTTATTAGATTATCATACTGAAATAATCACTACTTTTTAAACTAGGTCCATACAAGAATAGTGACTGAAATTCTAATGAAATATCACTTGCAATAGGAATCAAAGTGAAAATTCTAAACTATCAGCTCAATATTCTATCAAGCGAATCAACTGACTAAAATGTTAACGTACTGGAATAAAATCCACATTTATTAAGTTTTGCGACTGGTAGCTTATAAACGAATACAGAGAATTATTTAATTTGTATTGGTTGTTTGAATCTTCCAATTGATGTTTACGACTTCTACTAATCAGTTTCTTTTGGTATATATGTATCTTGTTCGGATTGCATTGATATTGCCATTAGGCCACAAGTACCATAAACAAAGATGGATGGTGGCCAGCAATGGAATCCAGGATCCGCGTTTCGTCCAATTTGACTCAATAGATGGATGTATCTACATCTGAGTTGATGTTCACTCTGGGACTCTAACCTAGAAGCATTCGCTTCAAACGCCATCACGTTATACAACCAGCTACTGAGTTTCCATTGCATAATCCAGAGGCTATCTGAACTCACTAGATAAGTGGGTAACGCGATGTCGTATGAAGGGAACAGTACTGGGTTGGAGTTGAAGAGTGAACATCTACTCAAATGTATGTAAATTTAGCTGACGAGTCCTGAATAGGACGAAGCGTGTGTCCTGGGTTCCACTGTTAATCACATCCATCTTTGTTCATGATACAGAGAGTTTATTGTCATCAAATGAATTATTCATTCAGATTAGTATAAAACCATTTAAAATGTTGTTAAATAATCACCTTCATTTTTAATTACTTCTAGGTAAATGGAACATAGATCATTCAACCACCAATTTTGCATTCCTTTGACACCATAATGAAATGACCATTTTAAATTTTCATGATCAAAATCGTCTCTAAGCTTGTGATTACCAGTTTGAATCATATTTTCACCATGATCAATGTCTCTAGGATCTGTCCATGATAAGTTGATCAAATGAATTAATCGACATAATTTATGTATAATCCATATATCAAACAACCTTAATTGCTGTGACAAAAGAGTAAAGAAAAACAAACAAATCAATTTCAATTCATTCTAATACGACAAAATTTTTACAAATAAAAACTAGACTGAAAATTTAAAAAGTAATTACTGCTACCCAAGATATTCTAAATGAGATGAACCAAGTCTACGTCATGGGATCTCACCAGTTACAACCATATTTCAATGATAAAGTTAAGACAAGTGTAAGTTGGAAAAATAGATACATAATTCCGTTTTGATTGTCAACTTAAAGTCATTTATGTCTAACAAACTGCACAGTGATCTTAACATGAAAGAACATCAAATTCACTAATTGTTACCCTTCAGCTATTTTAACTAATCATAAGAACTAATAGACAAAATGACCATGTGAGAACAACTGAAATCTATTTTAACTGATTTCTTTTCATAAGTAACCTCATAAGTGGATTCGAATCGCATGACCAGTAATAGTTTCTTTAAAATTTTAAATGTATCTTGCTGATAAATATCAATTAGCATAAAATCTAAGTGCAAGTTTTCTTGTTGATTACTGTTACGTATCAGATATTATATTCTACTTCCAACTGCTTTGAAAAACCGACATACATGGTATTTCTAGAATGAAATAAACAACCAAACAAATCAATAAATGCGTGAATACTTTACTGATTGAGTGATTAGAAAGTTCACTTCATTGTTAGAGTGAAAATTGTTTTCAATGAAAATTTATGTAGACATAATAATTGATCTAATCAACAACAACAAACAGATGTTGTGAGATTAATTTGTGAAATCGACACCACATACATCACTAAGTTTCAATGTAGTAAGTGGTCACCTTAATGAACAGTTTAGGACTAAGATCAGTTTAGTATGTGTATATGATTATTCAGAATGAATAATTAGTAAATTTTGTTACATAACAACATGTTTCCCAATTTAATTGGGATCAAATTAATAAATTACGTAGTTTTAATTCTAGAAAAATGTAATATTTTGGCAATAGTTTTACCTAAAAAGTGATAACTGTTAATATTAAATTGGCAAATGTTGATTGCTAGCTTGATAATATTACACATCAAAATTATTTATAAACGCTTCCACATAGACCAACAATCTTTAATAATAATAATACTCATGATAATAACTAACTTTTTCTTTACTTAATCCTCCCACAAAATCTATCCACTGGGCACCTAGTGATTTGTGATGTATGTTTGAAACTGATTGAAATACATCTTGCTTCTTAAGTTGAATGGAAACAAAACGAGCTGTCTGCCACATCTACAGAGAAAAAAATTGTATATTGAAGCCCTGGGTTTATCGCTACAATGAAACAATACTTCGTAATAAGATATTTTGATACCTACATCTAAGTTCTCAAAAATTTCATAAACTCGATAGTTAGGGATCAGGTCTTTATAGCTTAGTGAAATAGAATTAGAATTCATAACCAACATTTTTACAAAATCACAAATTTTCGCAGATAATTCGCAAAAATTCATATAACCTATTCATTCATAATAAGATGAAATAATCCCTTTAAAATTCAAAATTTATGTTAAAATGATAATTTTAGTGAAAACATAATATTCATGTAAAAGGGTGTGAATCTTCAGAAGTTATTCATTTATAGCTCAATAGAATGAGTGTAGCTGCTCACGGAACGATGATTACTAAAGTAGTCAGATGTTTCAAAAAAACAAGTATGCAAATCAATCATAACGTCCTATATTATACTTACTTGCCCGAAGCTAAGGCGTTGTACACATGTAACTATTTTTATAAATGAGGGTTGTGGATGATCAAAAGAAGTTGAAAGAACACCAACAAAAGTCATCTCAGGAATTTGTAAGTTTTAATATTAGGCGAAATTATTTGAACTAAATTGATCCTACTCATCATAAAAAGATATAGAATTTTATTGTTAATTACAGCTTTCAAAATATTTAATAATGAATTTTGATATAATATGGGATTATTTTTCTCGCTTTCTATAGGGATACATTCCAAACACGAAGATTGTGGTTAACTGTTGAATTTCTGAAGGGGTCGCTATGAAGTGACACAGAATATCAGAGCTTGTAGATTTATTCAAAATACAGTGAGATTAAATGAGAAACCTATACTATCAGGATTAACACAAACATTCAGCTATTCCACCTTTAAAGCAATTAGTCCTTTTTATAAATTCCGATAGAACAATGAGAAGACGGAGATGATCTGCAAAATGTGATGTATTTGCGTTATACATTTCGAACAATCTGGTCACAGATATACTTGTCAGGGCATTTTATATGAAAATTAATAAAGGTCAATTACATCAAAGTTCAAGTACTTTTCTTTTGTACTTGAACTTTGATGTAATTGACCTTTATTAATTTTCATATAAAATGCCCTGACAAGTATATCTGTGACCAGATTGTTCGAAATGTATAGCGCAAATACATCACATTTTGCAGATCAACTCCGTCTTCTCATTGCTCTATCGATGTTCCACCTTTACTAATTAAAACTCAAGGACTATAACTCAATAGCTTAAATTAGCCTTAAGACTAATAAGTTATTAGTTTAAATTCTTGTTTCATTCATAAATTACATTGAAACTAACCGGATTGCATCATGCAATACTATAAAGTTTGATATTATTGAATCTATCGAAATAATTGGAAAACGAAATCATAAAAACTTAGCATTTCATTTTACCTTATTACAAAATTTTCTCATTTCCAATACAACATTCTCATCAAAATTAATATGTGACTGAGATAATTGATGAGTTAATAAAGCAGCTCTTAAAGCATCTGCACCTAATACTTGAATTGATGATCCAACAGTTTCCTGAAAGAACAGTAAAAAAACGTTATGTGTAAACAGTTTAACAAAAAAAACACAAAACCATACATTAAGTTTTAAAAGAAGAGCAACTAATTCAATATGTCTTCAACCGAACTTGTTATATTCATAAGAAAGATATAAAAGGAGGAATAATTTAAGCAAATTATATCAAACAGATGATGACGTTTATACTACCTTGGTGTAAATAAATTGCCAAAACAACGCATTCATGTACCCGCGTTTGAACAATGCAATATATAGATAGTGGATTGTAATACTCCATGACTGAACTGAGATAGATATAACTCGATTAGAACCCACAAAAAACGAGTAGCAGGAAATCGATGCATAAATACAACTTACAGAATTCGAATATAAGGAAAGAGTTACTCTGGAACGAGTAACAAAACATGGAAATATGTCTAACCCGATATTATTTACCAATCTAATTTCATGATCTCAATCAAAATTGTATGGACTGTCACATGGATTAGAGGATGTAGCAAATGTGTGAAAAAAGGTTAACACTTGAAAGTTCTAGGTTTAATAAGGGTTTGTAACAAGTTTAATTACTCAATAGGACCACTTAGTTAATTGACAAAAGGTTATAATAAAAATAACCAATATTACACGTTCTGTAACCGATACTGTTTCTGATAAGATGCCTTTGTATTTCATTACAGTTCATTACACTGATGTTGAAATATCAGAAAAGGTTTTCAATAGATTAAATACACTGAGTGTCTGAGGCATTGTGCTTGGTCATACATTGTAGCTGATTGACTGACTATTTATCGTTCAAAACCAAAGTAATAATGATAATAATATAATTATTTATACAAAAAAAAACTGAAGACCCCGAACCACTCCGTGGTGGTGGTGGGGGAGGAGGATTTAACTTAGGTGATTGTTTTGAGGATATAATCAACAAATCTTATCAAATAATAAAATTGTTATGAACAAACATTTTGAAGAAAACAAGTTAATTTTTGTAACTGATCAAATAAATAAAATGTAAGCAATGCAATGAATACATCTAACAACATTTAGAAATCTAAAAAAAATTAATTTCTGAAAAGCAGAGCAAAAATTCAGTAGAAATAATTATTGATGAAGAGTGAAAATCTGAGAAAATGGACAAAAGAAATGACATTCAATAAGATATAAAACAAAAAGAAGGAATAAAGAATGGATTTATTACAGTTATTTTAACTATACAATCGTTAATCATGATAACAATGCTAATATTGACAAAGAAATCTTTTCTAATCACAATTTAAAGAAGTAATTGGTTTAAGGATCAATGTGTTTGAGCAACTAGGGGGGTTTGTTGTGGTTTACATTTAGAGTGCGACTCATGTTCAATCATTTCATGATGAGTGAGTTAATCTACAGGTGTATATAGTCGAAAATACGTAATGGTATTGAAAACACTGTATATTAGATCAAAGACCAGTTAATTTATCAATAAAATTTTTGTTTGAAAGAACGGAATTAAAATTAGGGAGAGAGAGAGAAGAAAAACTAAAGCATCAAAGGCGAAATAGAAGACAAAAATTGATAAGAAGGTTTATTTATTTATTTATTTGAACACATAAATATTGGTACAGGGGGGCACCAAATATATATGCGCTACACAAAACAATGATAATTTGAAGAGAAGGAGAAAAGAGAAAAAAAAAAGTAATGAACGTGGGGAATAATAAAAAAAAGGGGAGAGAGAGAAAACAATGGTGGGGGAAACGGAAAGGTACAATCAGAAGAGATCTTTCAATTAAGGAAGATATAACCACTTTCTATGAAGAAAGTAAGAGGTTACAGCACGATCGCCACTGGCTTCTATTCTTAGTCATATCTGATAACGTCTCTAGCCACTGCGTTACACCGTCTCTCGGACCCCAACTAGGGAGTCGTGAAGGACCAACAGAAGCTAGCCCTTTGCAGCTTTCTTTCATACCACGACACCATGTCATATACTGACCACCTCTCCGCTTTTTCCAACCAGTCCCAGAGTCGGCAAATAATGCACGAAGTGGAATTCTCTGGGACGACATTCGTAGAACATGTCCAAGCCACCGAAGTCGGTGTTTCAAGATGGTGACACCAATTTCATTATCGTCTCTGTGACCGAACACTCGATGCCGAACCTCTGCATTACTGACATGGTGTTGCCACTGGATGCCAGCAATCCTTCGGAGACAACGATGATCGAACACAGAGAGTCGTCTAACATCCTCAACTCGGAGAGACCAGGTTTCACAAGCATAGAGCAAAACTGCTCTCACCGTCGCGTTGTAGATCCGACCTTTTACAGCCAGACTAACATCACGAAGGCGCCAAAGATGGCCCAGATTGGCATAAGCCGCTCTGGCTTTCACTATACGAGCATTGATCTCATCACTCACACCACAACCAGCACTTATGCAGCTATTCAGATACACGAACTTCTCGACTACTTCTATCTGCTCACCATCCAGGATTAGAATCCTGCCAATTTTGTAGAAGTACTTTGCACTTCGAAGGTGCAAAGCACATACCATACCTACGGACATTGATTGCCAACTGATTAAGTGCGGATTGCATAGCTTGGGCATTCTCGCACAGTAAGACAATATCATCCGCATATTCAAGGTCGAGAAGTCTTTCTATAGGCAACAGATCCACACCACCATTACTTACATCCGTCAGAGCTGTTTCCAGAATGTCATCGATGGCAAAGTTGAAGAGGAATGGTGAGATTGGGCAACCCTGCCTAACCCCACTGCTCGAATGGAATAGTGGAGAAAGGTGATTGTATGCCCTCACTCTGCCTGAGGTGTTTGTGTATAGGGCTTTTAGGATGTTAATAAACTTCTCAGGCACACCCTTCTTCAATAGACAATCCCAGAGAACAGTTCTGTCCAACGAATCGAAGGCAGCCCTGATATCAAGAAACACTACGATTGTTGGCCTTTGATAAGTATAGCGGTGTTCTAACACTTGGCGGAGGGTGAAGATATGATCAATACATCCTCGACCAGAACGAAACCCAGCCTGCTCCTCGCGAGTCAATCCTTCTCGGGTTGTGAACAACCTACGAAGTATGACGGAAGCCAATAGCTTGGACGCAATCGGAAGTAGACTTATCCCCCGATAGTTGTTTCAGGAACGACGTGAACCCTTTTTAAAGATAGGGACAACTATCGACTCATTCCATGACGTTGGTACACACTCTAGTTCCCAGATCTTTGTAAACAACGTCGTCAGTCCCTTAGTCAGAAAGTCACCACCATCTTTAAAAAGAGCCGGAGGTAAGTCGTCTGGGCCCGGTGATTTGTAACGTTTCAAGAGTTGGAGTTCCTTGCGGACTTCCGCCTCATTTGGTGGATCAGTCGTCACCGGCCATGGAGGGCAGGACAGTCTGACCGATGTTGCCGGAGCAGCAGGCCAGTTGAACTGCCCTTCAAAGAATTCTGCCCATCGTCCAAGACGTCGATGGATGTTAGTGATTGGCGTTCCGTCATCCTCGCAAATTGTTTCGCTCACACCAAACTTCTTGCTGCCAGTGGCTCGGATGAGTTGGAAGAGCTTCCGGTAATTACCAGATGCAGCTGCTGCTTCCAACTCACTGGCACGCTCCGACCACCAGGCTTCTCGGTCCTCACGCAAGCTTTGCCCGATTTCATTACGTAACATCCTTCGTCTGAGGTCAAACTCACGGTCACCCGGAGTAGACCGACGGGCTTCAATCAGTTGTAAGGAACCAGAAGAAACCCAGTGCTTGTAAGCGGGACGTTTCGCAAACCCACAACTGACTTGACCCGCCATTTTCATGGCGTCATGCAATTGCAACCAATGCTCATCTATACTTTTCGGTGGAATGGTAGCTAGCCTAGAAGCTAGCTCGGTTCGGTACTTACTAGCAACAGAAGTTGCAACCAGCATGCTGACATCAATCCTTTGGTGGCGGTCACTTCGTTGGCCACTGAAAAGTAAAGTAAGATTGGCGCAGACTAGGGCATGATCAGAGTCCAGATAAGTACTCCAAAAGGAGCGGCAATCTTGTACACAACCACGCCAGCGGTAGCTGATCGCGATGTGATCAATCTCAGTCCAGGCTTGAGATGCAGAGGGAGGACGCCAGGTGGCACATCGGCGATGACTGTGCCGAAAGTTAGTGCTAGCCAGAAACAGGTTGTGGTCTGTGCATAGTTGCAGTAGACGTTCCCCGTTATCTGTCCTGCGACCAACGAGTCCCCATCGGCCACCTAAACGACTTTCTTCTGTGCCTAGACGCCCGACCTGAGCATTCAAGTCTCCAGCTAGTACTACAATATCTGTCGAACGCACTTTCTGGAGAAGAACAGTTAGCTGATGGTAGAACTCGTCCTTGATTGCATCCGGGCTGCAATCTGTCGGGGCATAGGCGGAGATGACGAAAAGACATCGTTTCTCACGCCGATTTCTTCTCACTTTGATGGAACTTTCTAATCTAACAGCACATAACCGACTGTTAATGGGGATCCAGTCGACTAGTGCTGCCTCAGCTCTTGCGCTTAGTGCGACACCAACGCCAGCAAGACCAGACGAAGATGCCACAGGGTCCCCGGATAAACGCACATAAAACAAGCTTTTTGAAGTGACAGATGGAGAGCGAACTTGTAGTACTTCACCAGAGTCTTGAATACGGGTCTCGGATAGACAACAAACATCAATATTAAGACTTTCCAAAGACATAGCCAGTCCTATCTGTTGTCCGACCTGCATAAGTGTGCGAACGTTGAAGGTAGCCAGTTTGAATGGTGCACGCGGTTTCAGAAAAACTGCTTCAGTACTCATGTTCGGTAGTAACATACAATTTTCAACCAGGCAGTGACTCGGGAACGTTTAGATAAAGCTGAATTTTCACCATAGGTGAGCTGCTGTCTAGGTCGAAACGCATATATAAAGTAGGAATAAGAGAGGGTGAATAAATGACGTGGTAGAGTAATAATAATAATAACAATAATGATAATAATAATAGTACGAGTTATTTCAATGTTAATCAGATAGAAAGGAATATTTTCCATAAGCAAATTGTTCATCATAGTTTTAGTGAGTGGGCTGGGATACTGCCCGGGTGCCCAGACCGAAGCAGGTGGTTTTCTTAGGGGGCCACACCCCGAGCCTTCGACCTAAAGGTCTAGTCCACAAGGCAGTGGAGCATCGTGAGGAGATGCAGTCCCATGGAAGCCGGTGACCAAAAGTTGGTTCATACGCCATTTGTTCCCGCAGGATACTGGAGCCCATGTGCACCATAGAATTGGGATCCGGTTATAGCGCCGGACGTTCGCTTTTCGTCCTCTCATTTTTGTAAACAACACCCCCGCCACGAGAAGGCAGTGAGTAGGACTTCCCTGGCAGAGGCTGTATACGCGTGGCCGTGTGAGAGTATTTCGAGAGGGAGGGCGAACCCTCCCCGCTCTCGGCCATACCAGGGCATTTGGGGGCGATAAGAAGGTAGTTTGAGAGTCAGATGAACAAACTATTATGTTCATAATTTACTCTTCATCGTTGGTCAGTACTAACTGTAGAAGCGTTGAAAACTGGAGGACACTTCATGTTCAGCTCATATTGATCTTCAATATATTAAATTTATTTATAAATACCTTACCATTGAACTTCCAAGTTAAAACCTAATTTCATGCCGTTTTCCATTTGAGATTATTGTAAATCTATACTTCAGTGAAGTTAACGGTGACCTATAATTAATTAACTTTAGATTACATATTCCAAAAAACACGTCACGAAAATGTACTAACTACTTATACACTTAAAAATCTAATAAAACAAGGTTTTGATGATTCTACCATGTTGAGCAAAATATAGTAATAAATTACCTTTGTAAGGTTTCCAATCCCATGAATCAATTTCAATGGATTCACTGAATTGTTTTTACTTTTAGACATTTTCTGACCAGTTGAATCACACACCAAACCGTGTAAAATCACCTAGTTTAATTGGAAAGTAATATTGATTAATTAAATTATTACGGAATGATAATCGTCAGTATAGCGTTGTGGAGACTGTTGAGTTCCATTAAAATAATAAACCGATCAATGATCAACTGTGTCGGGTGTGAAACAGTTATCCCTTAAAGTCAATGGAAGATGGTCACACACGATTGTGGATTGACTGAATTTAGACATTAACTTTCGAAATTTATCAAAGGGACTAACTGATTTAGACATTAACACCGTTCGTTGCTGGTTCGGTGGTTTAGAGGTTAAGCGTTAACGCACGAGACCGGATTTTCTGGGTTAGATTCCCGTACCCAAAGTCGTATAGAAGTGTTACTGACGAGTCCCATACGGCCGTCCAGTGCTTCCAGGTTTTCAATGGTGGTCTAACACTGATCAGCTCATGATCTGAATGATATATATATTAACATAACTCATCATTTAAGCTAAGTTAGTTCATCAGTGTTTTATCAAATTAAGCTGTCCGTCATAACATAAACTATTTGCAACAAGAATACTGATAAACTGAAACTATTATATCAGAATAAATTTAACGACCAACTTCATGACATCAATAAGTAAGTATTCAAGTTGTATCTGACATAAAATGGAGTAGAATATTAAAAACACTATTTAGATGCCAGGTGGTTGGGGGTAATCTGCAAAAAAACTCTAAAGCTAGTTTTCGCGCCAGTTAGCACTCGATAGAAAGGCATACTCTTGGTTTTGAATAAAACTAGTGGTCTAAGTAAGGTAAACATCAGAACCCAACTGAGAAGTTGGAGACATCACTGAGATACACAAGCTGTGACTAGCATCCTGTAGAACCGAGATATTTACATAATGTTGACGCCGAGACACTTACAAACAGTTGTCTGTATTATAACTTGATCGATAGAATGTGATTCGCACTAAGAATTAGACAAATATGACATTAATTACTACTATTCAGTGTTCAATCACTATAAAAATACTGTTTACCTGATGACAGATCAGCATCATTATCACTAATCTGAATTGTTAGCAAAACATGAACTATGTGCACAAATCAATCTACTCTAACAATATCATCCAAAATAAATATAAATAAGTAGTTTAATGTTATTCTTTTAAACAAAAGCTTTTGTTCCAAGTAATTCACTTCATTTTAACAATATTGAACAACCAGTGTGAATTAAGTTTGTTTTTCTTATCTAGTTCTTTCAATTCGCGTTGTGTTATTGAGATCTTACAATAGGATAATATATTTTACATAAAATTGATTGACATTTGAAGATTGATGGATAATGACGATGATAAATATAAAAATTTACACAAACAAAAGGACAGTTTATTCTAAACACTCAGCTATTCCAACCAATCGATAAAAATAAATGGTAACCAACAATTAAGTAGATCAATTTTGATGTACATACAGTTTTAAATGGGACTTGTCCTGTTAGAAATACACCAAGCATAACCATACGAGCAATCCAAAAAAATAATATATCCTGTCCACTTTCCATTAAACGCAGAGGATAGAAACGTAGTTCTTTAGTCTAAATTAAGAATACAAATATGTATGTGTAAATACAGATGAAGTAAGTATTGGAAAATTTTCATAAAAGTAATAATGAATTATAATCTAGAAACAAATGTACATGAATTACCAAAGAAGAAGTGATAAATAAACAACAATAACGGAGAATGATTACGTTTACTTTAAAGGGATATGTGTGGAGATGGAATTTTATCGTTCGAAATTTGAAGCGCGCTTCCTATTACAACAAATAATTTGATATCGATGTAATCAATGCAAAGTTTGTTTTTCTAACGTAAAGTGTACACTTGGTTTTTCACTTGTTAAGTAGAAAGTGTAGAAACAGAGTCTATAGGTTTATGTCAACTACATAGAAAAAGATTTACTTGACCAAAGATATTAATCGTCTCATTTGCTCAAGTGGTTAATTAAGAGATTTTTAACTCATAGTTGATATTAACACAAATAATGAAGACTTGTTTGTGATTTTGAAGTTTAAACTATGGATGAACTCAAAGAGCACAAAATAATCAGTAGATAATTAAATCTAATCTATAAACAATATGAACAAACTATTATTGATGAAACATATGTCAGTATGATGAAGTACACAGATAATGTGAAGTTATTTGGATTGAATTAGTCAGAGAGAGGTTCAAACCTACGATCAAAGGTTTTTAGATGCTCACCATCTAACACTAACATGATACATACATCGTATATATTCTGTAGACAAATCTCGCTAGTAATAATGTGGATATAAAATGTTGAATACGAGTATTTCGGATGTTGATATTTCATACATTTATTTCGGCAAACAAACAAATAAACAAGAAGCAGAGATTGTAAATGTGCCTAATCAAACTATTATTCACTAAAGGAGTTAATATAACTCAAGATAGATGAGATAAGGAAATAAGCATTGTATAAAATAAAGAATAAAGTTATTAGAAAGGAAAAAAATGATTCGGCAGTCATGCTGTCTGATTCTGTTCAAAATTCAGGATCAGCCATGTGGATGAGTAATAGAAGCTGCTTTAATTACAAATAGCTATCGTTGAAAATAAATACAGTATTTACTAAATGATTTTTAAACATATTATTACATAATATATAACTATCACCATATAATAGACTTACATCATTTGGCCAACCAAATACTGAAAATGGTAATAGTGCAGAACTAAACCAAGTATCTAAAACATCTGGATCTGTAATGAACAAACAATATTAAGTCTAATAACTAACAAAACATTTTGTGATTTATGTACAAATCCCCATTCTGATAATAAACATATGACAAATGTCACAGAAAAATAAAATAATTTACTACAATAAATTACTGATAAGATATTTGATTTTGATTAACATCTTCGACATTGATATTGATCATGAATACTAAACAACTGAATAACATTTCTTAAAACAAAATAAAATTGTTTCATACTGTAAGTAACAGATGATACTATTCATACTATTACCATAAAAGTTCTATTCTATTAAACAAAGACACTGAATAAATTAATCACAAAATTTCTAATATATATATATATATATATATATATATATATATATATATATATAATATCACCTGGTATAAGCTGATAATCATTTGACTGAAGTCCAGAATCAGTCAAAATGTTTACAGCTTCGTTAATTGAACGAGCTACAATCCACCGATCCGTACCATCACAATCATTTGATTTTGTGTTGGACGAGATAACCTTGACGTTAGACATATTAGGGAAAAAAAGAAACAAAACTAACATTGATCAGAAACATGAGAATGGAATAGCTTACTAATGTTTGTCTTAGACTTATAATAAGTTTATAATGCTTAGAATAATTGAAAAGATTCGATATCATGCTACAAGTCTAAGAGTATGGTTATTATTGGAAAAAAATACTACTAATAAGAAACAGTTTGAAGTTCGAGAAAGTTAAAAGTTGTATTACCATCATAATTTGTAAGATTTAATGGTATATTTCAAGGTATCACAATATGCACAGATAAACTACCAAAACCATAAGAGTTATGGATAGAAAAATGATTATTAGGTCTAATCGATTTGTATGCTTAAACAAAACCATAGGACGTTATCTAGACGAGAATGTTATTAACAATAGATGACTGAGTTACATGTGATTTTGAATTTTTCATTTGGTCAAGAGAATAACTTCAAAGTTATGAAATTAATAACAAACAGACTAATGGGGGGAAATCAATACTTTCGCATAATGTTCTTATAATTTCAACTAATGAAAAGGAGACTAACTAGTGTATGTGCCTAGGAAACTAGTTGCCAATGAAACTGGAATATAAATTAAATAACACTATTTGAGTATAATTAACAAATTACAACAGGTGAATATATAGGGTAGCTTACTGCCTATTAAGTTTAAGTTTAGTAAAACAGAATAAACATTTTTTTCTTGGAAAAAAAGGAAGATGCAAATTTTTGTGAAGATTTCTACAATGAGTTACACTTTAAGGATTGTATGGCAAATGAATTCGGCTACCGCAAATTCATTAGAAAGAACATATACTTAAGAAATGTCAGAGAAAAAAACTCATTCGATTTTCCTGGATTTTTTTCAGTTTGAGTTTTTGACAACATTGAACAGAGCTCTATCAGAGAACATGTGATAACTGAGGTAATGTAAGAAAATGGGTTATTCGTTTTATGTATTATTCCAAGAAATTTAAAGTATTGTTCGGAAATTTTACAATTTCATCAACGACAGATTGATATCATTATGGATTAAATGAGTGAATTCACCTGTGTCATAAAGAATGATTTCGAGCCATGTCATTCCGAGTCTCTGGCCATTATTTACAATAATCACGAGGAGGAGTCCGACCAGGTAGTCTACACCAATAAGTACGACTCAGTCGTCAATGACTTTAAGGACTAGTGCCACGTCTTGGTTTGGTCACACCTAACTTTCTTGCAAACTACTTTTATACCAGCAAGCATTTAGTGGTTAGGTATACGAAATGCATATCCTAATTAAATCAGTTGGCTGAGATCCATCGCCTCGTCAACCAATTTGTCATCTTTACTTGGCACGCTATGTCTAACCTCAATACTGCTCACTTGGTGGCTCCAAAATACACGAGCGATGCTGAGAAAAAATCCACTCTATTAACGAATGGCGATATAGATGAAGTATGCTATTTGGATTAACTTGAAAATCCATTTGATGTATGAGTTGCTGAATAGTTTAAATATATTTCAAACGGTCGATAATAAGGTGAACAGGCAATTACATATATATGAAAACAGTATGGTTAAAAAGTCATAATGAATTCTGATAAATGAGCACAGAATAAATGATGAATCTTATAGTTACATGACTATGTAGTTTTACTAATTCAGACCAGAATATATTTCATTACATGTGTTATGTTATGAGTAAATAATGCCTAAGATTGTAATTGGAAAATTGCATGCAACTTGTATAGTGATCTAAAGGTTAAGCGTCCGGGAACTAGACTGAAGATCCTGGGTTCGATTTCAGCACCACTCGTGGTCGTGGATGAGTACTACTAAGGGATCCCGATACTGGGGCGAAACAGCCGTCCAATGCTTTCAGGTTTTTAACGGCGGTCTAAGATCAGTTCATGATTCCGATGACATTCGAAAATATCCACAACTTCCAGTACTCACAAATAACATGTTTTTATTGTTTTGTCAATAAAATGTAACATGTTAACCACATTTAATAGAATACGTAATTATAACTACTTTTTGATTATACTGAACAAATATATTTACGCACTCAACATAGTAACATCTTGTTCTTTTGAACAAAAAGACTACAAATTATTTGAAATCATTTCATATTTGTAAACTAGGGGAAAAAGAGATCATATATTAGCTAGGTTGATTTCGCTTGACTGTAGGTAGAGATACCAGTCTATAGGTATGGTAGTCATAATACAAAAAAGGTCTTTTTCTAAACCACGATTATATTAGTGGTTAGAAACACACAGGAGATAAAGTTTTGGCAAGAAGTCAAAAATCGTTGGTGAATGCGAATACTGAGATGTTTTCGTGAACCTCTGAAACAGAGGCCAACATGAAGAATAGATTCAATTAAACATGAAATAGTAGAATAGTACAAGCTAATCACTCACTTTATAAGCTGGAATAGGATGACCCCAATAAAGCTGACGACTTATACACCAATCTTTATGATTTGTTGGTTTTAACCATTCTGACCAGATTAATTTTTGATTTGCTGGAAATAATTCCAGCTCATTAGAATGGACAGCCTTGAAGCATAATATGAGATCAAAAATAGATGAAATTATTTTTAGAAAATATCAATAAATCCAACAACACAGCTATCTCGACTTTTAAAATATTACGTAATCTAATCAGAATACACCATGAAATTGGAAAGCACAAAAAGAGAAGTTTCAAAAAGTTAGTAGAATTAGAAAATAATCACTAGTGATATAAGTGTACTCAGTCATCACTACGTACATTACTGTAAAAGTCTTGATTTGTTTTAAGTCACTCTACTAAGTAAATATATTCAAAAATAGAAAACCAGATATATTTATATAGATATTACTACTAGTATTTAAAATGAAAGCATATCTGTCAGGAACTAAATACAAGGAATTCAATGTATGGGGCAATGATTTAATAGCAAAATTCATAAAAATCAAATGAATCGGAATTATACTATTCGCAAAGACTTTTCACTAAATCTATAATAGTTATTTAATAACTCGCAGTTTCTTGAGATCAACACTCCTACAGGCATTCAATGTTTATGAAATGTATTATGACTAATTTTAGTATCCGTTTGTGTGTATAACCACTCATATCTATAATATTTGAAAAAGTATGAATAAATAACATATAGTAATGTCTCTTGAAGGCACATCGTAACTAAAAGAACTAATTCCAATCAGGTCACCTAAAGTCTTACACTAGACACCTGGATTACTTCACTGTTTCTGACAGAGACTGTTATTCAATGACTCCATGAACCGACTCTACATGTCTTGATCTATTGATCTGCAGACTTTTTTAAACTGACTTATATGTAACCCAGCGTAATGCGCCGGACTAGATAGAGATCTTATGTATTAAGATCAAACAAGTCAACTGATAAAGCTACATGGACGTTATTCATATTTATTTAGAACTTTTGTCTGATATCAGCGTTGTTTACTTGATGACTTGAGTTTCAACTACCAAAAACCCGAACGAAATTTTCAAATGATAAGTAAGAGTAGGGTAAACAAAGTGAAATATAAGATAGTTTCTACAAGTTTAATGTATGGTTATTATAACCTGAAAATCTTTTCTACAATTCTGAAATCTACATAATTATAGTTTTTAAGTAGTACGCTTGATTTTTAAAAAAAATGGCTTACATTTGATTTGATCAATGCCCAAATTGAACAATCTGGCATTATAACCTACGAACTAAGCATCAAAAATTTAAATAAAAAATTGTGTTCACCGTTCAAAGTTACAGAGTTTAGCTACTACTTCTTCTTCATTGTTAGCCGTTTCAATCATTTTATACAGTTAGTAAAAAATGTTCTTAAAAACTTTCTGATGTAAGTTATCTTTTCTATTTACGTCGATTTTCTTATAAGACATAACAAAATCAAAAGTAGGCACATGATTAATTCGATAAAATAATTACACTTCACTGTTGAACGATCAATTATTATCTTGCAGAAAAAGAAAGAAAATATTTTATTTAATTAAAAACTAATTTACTTTCACTGCAGCCTCAGCTAAATCTTTTGTACGTAAAAACCATTGTTTTTTAATCATCGGTTCAATGATATCACCAGAACGAGAACAAATTGGCAATAATGCAGTTCGACCTCCAGTGGCTCCAATATTTTGTCGACGTTTATATAGACCGAGATTAGTGAGTTGTTCAACTAAACGCTGACGTGCTATAAATCTGGGTAGTCCCTGAAATAAAATTAATGGTAAACGCATATATTGAAGTTGATCAAATAGGTGATAAGCAAATTATGTGTAATTTCATTTCAATGATGATAAATAAGTTCATGACTATTTAATTTAAATCCATACTGACATACAAACTCTTGTGACATAAACAGGATGAAAGTTATGAATGATTAATTACTGAGTAGTGAACAATACTATGCTTGTCTAATCACTTAGTGTGGATCGAATTCTGTTGATCACATTGCAATAAGGCCACTAGTCCAAGTGATTCAACATCGTGTGCACTATTTTGAGATGTAAGGCAGTCGGAGGTAGTCTATCAGTAATAAAAGGTTAGACAAATATAACGTTAGTTACTACTCAACGATCTATTAACTGTAAATAACTCAACTTCACAGGAGATCATTGCAGCCGGAATATTTCATTGGTAATGGCCTATACTTCAACGTTCAGTGACACAAGTTCGAATCCATCGAGAGCGATCAGTTTCCTTAAGATTACAGGTATATCTTAATTAAAATTGTCATATAGCAAACAAATATAGGTTCAGAGTTTGCTGTTGACAATAGTAGCTCAAAATGAAAAAAGATTCATTCTTAATCCCAACTATTAACAAGTGACTGTAATATTAAAGAAACTTCGGATTGATAATTATACCATACAACGTCACTCTTTGATATATGTTAGAATTGAGTGGATTCACAAACAGTAATTTACGCAAGATACTTCATATCCGTTGGCCGAACACCATCAGCGACAACCTACAGTGACGGAGAACAAATCAGCTTCCAGTTGAAGAAGAAATTAAGAAAAGACGCTGGAGGTGGTCAGGATACACATTTCGGAAATCAAACTGCATCGCCAGGGAAACCTCAACTTGGAATCTTCAAGGTGGAAGAAAAAAATGAAGACCAAAAAACACATTGAGCCGGAGATTAGAGGTAGACCTTAAAAAATGAATAACACTTGGGAACACAACGGGAAAGGAGAGCCCAAGCAGAATTGGTTGATGAATCCTGGTCGATGGCCTATGCTCAATGTGGGGTAAGATGTATAATTAAGTACATTTAAATAAACGAATGAACCTACGAACATTGAATGGTTACATATCATCTTACGACAATGAGTGTCCAGTTAAAAAATAAACGCAGTACAGGACACCTTCAACCATTTTGTTTTCTCAAAACAATAAAAAATCACTAGGTCAATGCTAATAGCTAATTTGAAATTAATTTTTAGAATTAAGCAATATTAATTGTACTCTTTTCATATATAACTTCTAAAATTTATACCCTTCCATCTATCATTAAGCTAAGATTTCACCTGAAATTTAGTAAATTACATATTGCGGGTTTCGCAAGGAAAATGTTCGCCAGTAGAGGGCTGATAAAAAAATATGAAATAATAAAGTGAAAACGATGGACAAGGATTTTTAGAAGAAATTGTTATAAAAAGCAACTTACATCGAATTCACTTCCTGTATTTGTTATACAACCAGAATTATCAAATACATGTTTAACAGGGAGTTGATGTCGTTTAGCTACTTCCCAATCAACTTGACTATGACCTGGGCTCAGTTTTACAACACCTAATAATCAGTTGAAATTTAAAGAAGATTAATGGTAGAAATTTTATAATCAATATAGAACATATATTTAGACGGTGATAACTGAAAAAATTACCACGTACCTTGATGCATTCTTAGTAAAAATAAAATTTAGTATAGTTCGATTCTTCAGTGATGTTCAACAAAATCTTGCTAGATTTATTAAATGGATTTTACCGGAATCAGTTTATTTTTGTAGTTGCTGTTTATCACAGATTGAGTTTATTTGAGACGCCAATGAAAACATAAGAGCATTTAACAGCTGTTTGACCTAGTATTATAATTTTTATCAGTGAATACCAAAAGTTTCGTCATATTCTGTAGCCATACTTTAATGATCGTTAGTTCATTCATTTTTTTATTCATTTTAACACATAAGTATAGGTACAGGGAGGCACCAAGTACATATGCGCCACACGAATCTCAATTGATTTGTGTGAGGGCTGTGATACTGCCCTGGTGCCCGAACCGAAGCAGGTGGTTTTCTTAGGGGGCCACACCCCGAGCCTTCGACCTGAACGTCTGACCCACAAGGCAGTGGAGCATCGTGAGGAGATGCACTCCCATGGTAGCCGGTGACCAACGATTGGTTCATACGCCATTTGTTCCTTCAGGATACTGGAGCCCATGTGCACCATTGGTTTGGGATTCGGTTAAAGCGCCGGACATTCGCTTTTAGTCCTCTCATTTTTGTAAACAACACCCCCGCCACGAGAAGGCAGTGAGTAGGACTTCCCTGGCAGAGGCTATATACGCATGGCCATGTGAGAGCATTTCGAGAGGGAGAGCGGACTCTCCCCACTCTCGGCCGTACCAGGGCATTTGGGGGCATGATCGTTAGACCAAGAATGAAATAGAACTAATTAAATATAGAATATATCATCAAGTAGGACTTTATCGGTATTCTACAAGAACTATCACATGGAATTATTTGCCCCAACTATCTAGTGAAAGTGTACTCCTAAGTAAGTAATTTTATATCATATTCTAGTTATTTACAATTCATTTAATTAAATGTATCACAATACATAATGATTAAATATGATTGATGAAAATGATACTACAGATATATCACTGAAGCTCTACTTAGTGTCATAAAAAAATATAAAACGTATATTCGATTGACTATTAAACCGTCAAATATTGGACCTCAGGTATAACATATCATAGCGATATCATCCTGTGCCTGCAACTGATATTCAGTACAATAATCAGAATGTAGACTATAAAAAAAAAAACAATTGCTCAAAAAGAAAAGAACGTTTCAGGAATATGATACATAAATATAATACATTACTTTATTGTTGAACATTGGTTAAGAGTTTACATTTGGGAAGAATTTGAGATGATTCCACAGTTAAATTAATTATGAGAGACATGATAGAATCAACGTTCAATAAGTAATAAACCTGATGAATAAAGACTACTAAAGTTTCTAATAATAAGGTTTATAGTCATAGGGGGGATTTGGAAAATATACACAGCAAAATATCAACGTATTAGTTACGACGAAAATTTATATTTCTGATAATTGCTAACACAGAAATCTAGAAGTGTTTTCACTTATTTTGAAGCATATGTACAATCATATATATTCATGAATACAAATATATATATATATATTCGTCGCGTATTTTTAGTTTGCTTATTTAGACTTGTTGTGAATACTGTATTAGTACGCATAAAACACTTGATTTTCACTCAGATTCAACTATACAACTCAACAACTTATTTTTTTATATATTTCATGTAAATATACTTCAAAATCATAGCTCACTTTGACAAAGTTCAAAGTGGGAGAAAAGAACAAGAACGACCTGAACAAGCAAACATCAACTAGTTACAACATGTATTTTCAAATAACATATGGAAATGTAACCGGTTGAAATTCATTTTAAAAATATATTAACATCGGGTAACAAAGGCTAAATAAAATGTTTTAGCTAAATAACATTCTCAAATACTATGTTACAAAGATTTCATAATATCTAATTATTTGAATATGTATTAATGCTTTCTTGTAGCAATAACCACGAGAACCGTTTTTTTAAAATTTGTATTTACGTATGATATTTGCTATTTTCTGGTTGGTTGCTGCCAATTTGTATGTCCTAAGGTCATATTGGTCACCACAAATAGAGAGAATAGTTCCACATTGATTTTGTCTTTATCAAGTTTCTTTCTGAATTGTTGATTTGCCTTTAGAGTAGGAATTGTCATTGAAAAGCTGCGTGTCAGTGATCAACTAAATGGGTTTGCAATAGATTCTGTTTGTATTAGAATTATATCGATAGTTCGTAAACGGCAGTTGGCTGAACCAAGCACAATCGCAAGATACAACACACTGATTAGAATGGTAAATAACGACAATATAGTTTGAATTGGATGGTTATATAGATTCAAAAATGAATACATGTCAATACAGGTGTTTACAATGAATTATGATTAATGTTATTTATACGCGTATATTAATCCCCATTTATTATTTAAATAGGTAAATGTTACGAGTTGTAAATAGATAGCTTGAACTGAAAGAAATAAAATGAATTCACTGTATTCTGTTCAATGAGCTATTCACACTTGTTACAAGTATAACGGAAGTTGCATTTATTGTTTGAGTTATTAGCCGTAGTTAAATAGAACCAAAATAGTGACTATTTATTTACCTAGTCAGATTAGTAGATAGTCTCAGAGGTTATTAGATGTGTGGTATATTTTCCTACCCCTTGTTATTGTTGTTGTTGACACTAAAATATCCTCATGTTATGGTTAGGCCAGTTACGTGTTCTTGATCAGAGTTGTGTCGAAGTCCTGTAGAGTAGACACTGGCAGAGTATCTAGTGTAGATATTCGTCTAAGGCAAATTAGTGTTTTATTAATGTAAAAGAGAAAACCGAACGTTATTTCAGTGGTAAATACAAACATTTTACAAACTGAGTTAATTCGAATGCAAGCAACCAGTTCATAATACGTTGACTGTGATACACATGCTTCAAGCGCTTCTCCATAAAAAATAATATCACCAGGTACCTATAACATTTCATCTTATTTAGAATACAAAATGCGTATGAGAAAATAATGATAACTTTTTATATTTGACCATCAAGTTGTACCAAAGTGGTGTGTTTCCTCCAATTTACTTTCGAATATATTATTCTCCCAGATGTTTGTTGAATGAATATAATAAACAAAGCTAAATTATACCATACATCTTACCTGTGCCTATTTCAGGCTGAACAAATTGTGCATCGGCAATTATCGGAAGACGTTCATTTGGGTAGAATGGATGTTCTACGCAACACCCAATTAAATGTTGATAACGTTTATCATCTGGATGGACAACTAGAGCTACACTAGCAAGCATTGTTTCTAAACGGGTAGTCGCTATAACTAGTTCGTCCCATCTAGAAATATAACCAATAATTGAATGAGGAAATATGAATCTAACCAGTAGTGATAGTTGAAAAATCTAAACTAAATTCTGGTGGTTAATTATTCGAATTTAACTGGGATTGGGGGATAGATAACATAAAACAGATAGTTACTGAGTGATCATCTGATGACTCTTCGAGTTCTCTGAGAGGACGATCAAAGCTCAGAAAGTCATGTGGCAGTGTATTTCTCTCTCTTACTAGGTAGCTGGGTGGCTCGGATCCTAATCCAAGAAGAAATAACAGTTCTTTTAAGACACATATATTAAACACTGAGTATTCAGTAGTTGGATACAATTTAATATATAAAAACTGAGGGTTACATCAATTATACAGTAGCTATCAGAAATGCACATTTATTATAACTGAAGAAGTTACGGATGGACACATAATACTCATGTAGAGTTTGAGAATCGAATCCTTGGCTATAGACATTCTCAAAAACTAAACGTCTACATTATTTTCCTACTCAAAAAGTACATGACTAGAAGCAAACTGCTGAGTTATAAGATTTATTACAATTAATTATTACACTAGCAAATAGACTGAAAGCCTCTAAAAAAGAACCTAGTGGTGTATGTTTCACTAGTCCTCATCAAATAGGAGTAACTTGGATTGGATGATGAAATGGTGATATGTTTGTGACTCATTTATTAGAATTACCTTGAACCAGAATGATTACATTCTAATAAGGATGATTTTGGTGGGTCTATCACACGATAAGCAAAATAATCCATTATACCGAATTCAACTGGCTTTTCATAACCTGGTACATTGAGAAATGTCGATTCTGAAATATCACGGAATTCGATCTTTTAAATATAAAAAAATAAAGAGAAAGAGAAAGTTACGAAAAGAAAGAATAATCTTAAAAAAACAAATGTTATGACAATGACATAAAATTAGCATACAATCAAGACATAAACGGAATTTAATGATCAAGAGTTATTGTTGGTAATGATATTTTTGACTTTAACTTTCAAAAATCCACGTATATAATTGAGTCAGTTTTATGATTGATAAATATACAATTGAAATAACTCAAAATACTTTAGTGTTGGTAAATGAACTGATATTATCATTATAATTAATGGGTAGAGATCGATGTACTTGGTTTTGAGCCATACAGAAGTAGGTGGAGTAGTATTCAAAGTATAACTATTGAATAGTGTACTTAATTTATAACATTGATTCTAGTCTTATTCAATTTTAAAAACAGGAAGTTCAACGAAGGGATCTCTTTTCAACGAATTTATTGGTGGTCAAATTTTAACGGACTGTTTCATGTCAAAACTAGAAAACGACCAACTTAGTTCAATGATCAATCGATTTCACCTATACGTAAGATACATAGACGACACGTTTGTCGTTTGTGATGATAATATTGATTTAGATGATGCCTTACACACCTTTAATTCATGCCACCCTTCCATAGACTTCACGTTAGAAAGTCAGTCAGTCAGCTGCAACGTAGGACCAGGCACGTATATGCATCGGTCCAAGTTGCCATACCGCATTAGCACAACAAGATGAACACCGGATTCATAGGAGTAGTTAATTCAGTGGTGGTAATATATAGAAGAAAGAGTGTGTATAAGGAGATAGTAAAGGAAGAAAGAATTAGTTCCTAGAAAGATATGAAGCGATTTTATTCTCTTAATTTAAGGAAGACAGAGAGTGTATACACCGACACCATTGTGATCGATTCTGAGCCATGTCACTAAGAGTCTCCAACCATTGGTTACGATAGTCACGTGGACCCCAACCAGGCAGTCTGAATCTTCCAACATGGCTCAGACCAGAAGTTAGTGACTTCAAGCACTGATGCCACGTTTTGGTTTGGCCGCCCCTAACTTTCTTCCAATTATCCCCTACATTAGTCAGCATTGCGCGTCGTGGTTATCGGTGTTTAGGCATACGCAACACGTGGCCCAACCATCTCAGTCGATGAAGATTCACAACCTCGTCAACTGATTTACCATCATTCCCTAGTACCATGCGTCTAACCTCACCATTACTTACCTGGTGATCCCAGCAGATACCCGCAATATTTCTAAGGCACCTGTGGTCAAATACTAGTAACTTACGAATATCTTCCACTCTTAAAGGCCATGTTTCGCAGCCGTATAGAAGGACGGAACGAACTGCCGCGCAGTATACTCGTCCCTTAATTGATAGACGGATATCTCGCCTTCGCCATAGATGACGTAAGTTGGCAAAGGCCAAGCGAACTTTTCGAATCCGTGCTGAGATTTCGTCACACACCAACCCATTAGGGCTGATCAGACTTCCAAGATAAGTGAAGTTGTCAACGCGTTCGACTACTTCACCCCCTATCCTTAGTTCAGGTGTTGATGCAGACCAGTCCGGAAGCAACAACTTGCATTTAGAGGGAGAGAAGCGCATCCCAAACATTCTAGCATTGTTGCTCAGTGCTACCAAAAGACTCTGCATTTCATCAGCGTCTTCACCAAACAGGACTATGTCATCTGCGTATTCTAAGTCAATAAGTGGACCTCCTGGTAGGAGATCAATACCCGAAAATTCAGTCGATGAGAGCGTTATTTCCATCAGGATGTCTATGATAAAGTTAAACAAAAAAGGAGAAAGTGGACAGCTTTGACGGACGCCACTTGAGGTTGCAAAAGCAGATGACAGCTCGCCATAAGCTCTGACTCGACTAGTAGTGTTCGAGTAAAGAGCCTTCACAAGGTTTATGTACTTCTGAGGTACGCCTTTCAATGACAGACACTGCCACAGAACCTCTCGGTCAACAGAGTCAAAAGCTGCTTTTAAGTCAAGGAATACCACTATTGTCGGACGCCGATAAGTATGCCTGTGTTCTAGAACCTGACGAATGGTGAATATGTGGTCGATGCAGCCACGACCAGGTCTGAAGCCAGCCTGATTTTCACGTGTTTGCAGTTCACGAGTCTTAGTTAGGCGTCCGATAATTATCGAAGCTAGTATTTTAGATACTATATTAGTCAAACTAATCCCTCTGTGGTTGTCACAGGATGATTTTGACCCTTTCTTAAATTTTGGGACGATAAGTGATTGTGACCAGTTAGATGGAATAACGTCTAACTCCCAGATTTTAGCTAAAATATTAGTCAACCTAATAGCTAAGACTAGAACACCATCCTTAAAGACCTCTGGGGCCAATCCATCTGGACCAGCTGCCCTTCCTCGTTTCAGATTAGCTATAGCGAGACCAATCAATTCCTTTTCTCGATGTACGCCTGATGAGTAGGAGTAATGATTCTTTAAAAAGATCCGTCTTTAGAAAACAAACATGGAATGGCCAGCTAACCAAATTCTATAGCTGGGTTCCGTTAAGTAAAAAGAGAAACCTCATCCATTTTTTATGTTATCGAACACATCGGATATGTAGTACGAAATGCCTTAACGAAGAACTCGCATTCCTCAAGAAAACCTTGACGAAAAATGGTTACCCAGAATGTTTCATAGAAAATATGAATAGAAGTAGCTGTGACAAGAAACCTAATTGTTCCGTCCCGAAGAAAAACCTTTATATAAGTCTGGAATTTAAAGGTGATCGAACATCAAACGTAATCAAAAATCGTCTAACAACAACGATTAAAAGAACATTTAATGTGGCTAAACTGCGAATAACCTTCACTAGTAGGAACTTATTTTCTGTATTCATAAAAGATAAGCTTCCGCGTCTGGTCGCCTCTATGTGCATCTACCAGTTCACCTGCTCTTGTGGAGCAAGGTACATTGGCCATAGCCAGCGCTCGCTTTCAACTCGGATACGGGAACATATCCCAGCTTGGTTCTATAAGGGTGAAAGGAAAGCAGTTAGGAGTTCTATACTTGAACACCTAATCGACTGTAACCATTCTACGGATCCATAGTTGGATTTTAAGGTTGTTTATATGATTCGTTCAAATCTACCCAGATTTCTTCGTATCCAACTCTTAGAAATAGCCGAAGCTCTTACCATCCAGGAGCTTAAACCAGAACTATGAGTACAAAAGTACGTCTTATCGTTACCTTGGCCTTAAGTATTTTGATTATCCTATTATTATTATTAATATTATTATTACTGCATTCCTCTTTACTTATGTCTTATATTCTCATTATTTTATTCGTAAATGCTCATCATATCACCTTATTAATTTTTACACCTCTATGACCTTTAATTAGTGTAACCAAAAAAACATTTTATTCATTTTAATCATATTATTATATTCACTAAATCTATTGTTATTATTCGTATTACGTAATCTAGTATTATAATCTTTCTATTACGTCATCTTGGTTAATTGTGTTCACATTTCCTAACGGAATTAGTACTTTTACAAAGACAAAAAATTTTCATATATATACGACTGTACAGCTTGATAATAGATTCGATGAAACGAGATCCCTTCGCTGAACTTCGTGTTTTTAATTTTTAATATTTAAATGGGAATATATACAATTTTGTTTGATCAGTATTTTCTTTTCCTTGATTTTATTATAATTAATCAAATAATAAGGTCATTAGCTATATTTAATGTTTGCATTTTATCTCAACAAAGCTAGTACACTGAGTAATACGTTTGTTAAATGCCTATAACAAACACTGAAAATAAATCTGCTCCAAATATATGCGTATTAATTTTATGAATAACACATAGTTTTACAAATCTGGTTTGTATGAACAATATACAAAGCAATTCAGTTTAATGTATAGGTAATCATAAACATATTCTTTGATCATAGAGGTTCGATGTACATACGAATAAAACAAGCGAATTCAGAATATAATCAACCACAGAAAATACGTATCTTCCTCCTGTATCATTTAGTTAGTTCTTGGAACTTCGGATAAAATTCAAAATGTCTCATCCATTTTAATACAACTTTCATAATACATCAAATTATTAAAGATGGTGTAGTTTACAGATTGTTATTATTCTGCTCAATAGCGACGATACGTTGTTACGAATAACAGAAATATTGAGTTGAAATCAATAAATTACTTATAATATAATAATTTGAAACAATTTCCCATTTTTTTTCTTAACTTACTTCAATATCGGAGATGGCTGTTTGGAGATAACAACACCAAGATATAAAACTTTCAGACTGATAAATCAATCCTGCATTGTACAATCTTAAAAATGCTTCAGTGACACATTCAGAATGGCTCTAGGAATAATTTTGTTTAAAAATATATTATGAAAATTAGAAAGAAAAGATAGCAACGCAAATATTAGCAGATATAAACCCACAATCAATAAAATGGAATTAGATTTTTCTTTTCAAAAAATATATTTATCCACCAGTGATAAATGAAAAAGATGAAAGTGATTAAGAATTTGTCCTTATTTACAGTCTTCGAAGTGAGTTAACGATGATGATTAATATAGAAAGTTCAGGTTGTGGATGTCCTGATAGATTGATGGTTCATTAGCACTACATATTAAAAGAATGTGATTTGTTTTGCAATCCAGAGCTAAAATATAACCTTCATGACTCAAAAGCATATTCAAATCATGAACCGGACTAAGTTAGACCACCATTGAAAACCAGGAAGCACTTGAAGGCCGTATCATCCTAGTATGGGACCACTCAGAAGTGCTCATCGGTGATCATCGGTAATTTTTCTAGGAATGTCACTTTACAATTGAAGGAATATCTAAATGTAAGCCATTTAATTTAATCATATTCAAATGTTCGAACACGTAATTGATGGAATAACTGAATTTACATTTAACACAAATTTATTGATATGCATAGTCAACTGCGCAGAAAATACCAGACAGAAGGTATAATACTCATTTAACTACTTACTAATTTTAATCTTTCTGGTATTACAAGATTACTATTGATATAGTTGCGCAAAATAAAATCAGTTGTTTTTGCATAAAGACAAACAGAATTTCTTAAGCAAAATAACTAAAAGGTAATTCAACTAAGAATTTTTAATTTTCGCTGTCGGTTTATGACTTACAGGACTTAAAGTAAAAAACTCTCTACTCCAATCCAAGCATAATCCAAGACTATTCAATTGTTCACGGATCAAATCGGCATGTCTAAAAATGATGGAGTACATAAATACTGAATGAAAGATTTGAATATATGCAAACTACCAACAAATATCTAATTATATCAACCAGCAAATATACAGAGAGAAAAAACGATGAAAGCGAACTTGATATAACGTCAATATTGAAACTAGAACCATTTGATTTTTGACACCCATCAGCAAGGCATACACCTGTCATCTTGAGAGACTGCTCAATACTTGGGTTTATGATTTACTGGCGACTACCTCTAACCATCACCTTACATTTCGACATAGTGCACGGGATGGGGAACTACTTAGATTAGTGGCCATGTTGTAACTTGAACAACAGGACCCGATCAGCTCTAAAGAAGCACCTGACATACATGACCGCTCATTGATAAATCAATTGTAAATACATCTCAGTCTTACAAGGAGTCGGTTGCGACCTAAAATGCTCAGTGGTAGCGTCTCTGACTGTGAAGCTAGATGATAAAAAGTCGAATCTGTCAAAGAGAATCAGTTCCTTAAACATAACAGGTACACTTTGTTGATGGGTTCCAAATAGCATGAAGCCGAGGTTCAAGGTGTCCTATCAACTTCCACCAACCACTATCTTTCAATAGCCCTATTCTCTTATGATTTTTCAGTTACTTCTAAATACAAAGCTTGTCAAAGGGATTTATTGAGAAGAACCAAATAATATTGAATTTACATCTACCTTAATTCAAAATAAATTAATTTTAATGATTACCAACTGAATAATTGTTATTTCAACACTAAGTTTAAAAACACGCTACTGTAAGGAACTTTAACATGAAAGATTACCATAAAAGTCACCAAAAATTTACTAGAATTCAAAAACAACTGTCTACACAAGATACTCCAGATCCATTGGTCAGAGACCATCAGTAATAATCTACTCTGGCAGAGGACAAACCACCTGCTAGTTGAGGAGAATAGGAAAAGACGGTAGGGGTGGACAGAATAAACTTTGCGAAAACCATCATGTTGGATCACACGGAAACCTCTCACTTGGAATCCTCAAAGTAAAAAAAAGCAAACTAAAAGACATATGTTGTCCAGAATTGGAGACAGACATCAAGACCATGAGTATGACTTGGCGAAAGCCGGAAAGGAAAGCTCAGGAGAGAAGTGTTTGGAGATTACTGGTTGGTGACTTATGCCGCATGTAGTAGTAGGGATAGGTAGATAAGTAAGTAATCTAGAGGTTGGGTAGCTTGGCCACTTATTTAGCAAATAAATTCAAATAAGAGAAACAATGAAACTATAAGTATTGGTTAGCGTTTCACTATGTCATGAACTAACTGAAGTTAAAATTATGAACCATTGAATTTTATCTTAGTAGTTTATAGGTGTAGAATTAACCATGAACCATGAGGAAATTTAAGACTGATCTTGTGATGGAGGGAGCGAATAGATTATCCCAAGAAGTTTAAAACTAAAACTCTTTGATTTTTAGCCTATCCAAGCTTGTGACGAAAATAACCCTTAAATCCAATGAGCACTGAAGAATGGACAGGAATACCATGACTATTCAGTGATCGATAAATGTAAATATCACAGTCCTGCAAGTGGAAGCCCATATAGCTCAGTAGTAACGCTTCAGACTGTGAAGCTGGGTGGTGTAGGTCTAAATTCCATGATGACTATAGGCTACCTCAAACTGTAGTTACGATTTGTTGATGTGTACTGGTTTCAACCGCCTTAACACTAGAAGACATAAACTACACATAAAAAGGAAACAAATACACTAACTGATTCTTCCAATCCCAAATACGTTGAATAAAATTTTCCCGTCCCAGTAATAATCTTGGATTTGAAGGAAATTGACAGCTCGATACTGATGACTTAGATTGATTAATAGGAAATTGACTGGAATTTAATGAATATTGTTTTAGTATATCTCTTTCAACTACTGACTGCGTTGCGATTCCAGCATGATCCATACCAGGAACCCATAGAACTGTTTTTCCATGCATTCTGTAACTAACAGAAAAAGCTAACAAATAATTAACCATAAATCGTACCACAATTTCAAGTGAATGGTATCATAACTACAAACTAATGATAAAAACTTAATTGCAGTGATCCATTTCAAAGACACTTATAGCAAAATTAAATACTTGAGTGATGACTAATGGGTTTTAAAATGAAGAGATTTAGATGACACAACATAATCCATAACCATGTTCCCCTCTTCTTCATTAAGCATGACTAACTTCTTTAAACCTATTGACATGTTATATTATTTGGTTCAATAATTATCAACTCAATGAATCTAAACAAGTGCATAGGTAGTAATCCATTCGCTTTGCAGTTTTAGTGCTAATGAGTAGGGAAAAGCATTGGTTCAGAAGGCATATTTAGTACGTGTAAAATAAAATTCCACTCAAATTGCTACTGACTATATAGCTGTGAGCCCCCTAATGACCTGGTACCGTTGACGGTGGAGACAGTCATCTCTTCTCGAAATGCTTTTACATGGCCACGCGTATAAAGCCACCATCAGGGAAGTCCAACTCACTGCCTTCTCATGGCAGGGGTGTTGTTTACGAAATTGAGAGGACGAAAAGCGAATGTTCAGCACTTTAACCGGGTTGGTGGAAACAGAGGGTATTTAGTGCCCCCTTGTACCGATATTTATGTGTTCAAATAAATAAATAAAACTGTATTAAAAGATGGCCAGTGATAGTGGTTTGAGTCTAATTATTTTTAGAGCGGATACTTTAGGTGCAAACAGAAATATATGAAGTTCAAGCCTAATTCAGTGTAATTCACAAGAGTAAAAAGACATGAAAATGTTAAACGAGAACACAGAAGGAAAGAAACAAATGACGATATGAAGCAAAAGATGTAGAATAGAAAGATATCCAAGATTTGTAGAACTATAAAGAATAAACACATCTACGTCATTGTAACCGACATTTAACCATATTACATAACACGCTCAATCATCGATAACAGAGATGTCACTCTGATCGCAAATAAGAAGCCTCCAGCATCATATATCATTGACCTTAGAGGTTAGTGACTTTATTATGAACTGCTGTTCTAATTTAGCCTAATCAAAAGTTTAAGGAACTGTTGTCCAGGAAACGTTCTCCTCAAAAGATACCAAAAATGGTATCATAAGACAATCCAAAAATTGGCCAAACGAGTTAGATTACAATCAAATGACTTAGGGTCGTTTTATTTTAATCGTGAAGTCAAATATTATTCTCATTGGAAAAGCGATATAAAAAACTATTTAGATGGTATTCTTATAGTAAAAAATTCCACCAAATCGCGTGCCACCTGAAATTGCCATTTTTGAAAATTATTGATCTACAGTAAACAATAAATAAGAGGAATAATCATGAATGGATAATACTTACCAACGAGCGATTGCATCTTGAATGGTACATGTAAGAGCATGCCCAACATGAAGTGTACCTGTGATATTCGGAGGTGGTAAAATCATGCTAACAATAGACTCGTTATGATTTAACGCCAACTAATAATAAGAGAAAATACACAGTTGTAAACAACTGATCTAAGAAGATGAATAACTCGAATGTATATATAAAACAAAATTGGCTTTGTAAGCATATGTTTTATCTGTAATATGATTGAATTTATAAAATTTACTCTTCTATATTTATAATGAATATGACTAAATAAACAGCCTAAAATACCACTTACTTACAAGACTTTGGATATAGACTGAAACTAAACAACGAAATGTTTAACAATACCATTCACGATCTACAATATTTATTTTGGTCATTGTATACAAAAACATTTGGAAATCTTCATTTTGTATAAAATAGGTGGGAAACATGAATATTATACAAAATAGTACATTCGTTATTAATGTTCAACTTAAACAACGTATAATTACGTACGATTAGGTAACAATCCCAAGTAATATGGTGTTCAATGATAATCAACGACATTAATCAACCAACAAGTGACCAACTTATGAAGAAAACATCAATACATGCGAACGTCAGTTGGATGTGAAAGTAAATAAGTTAAAAGTATGAATATAATAGTGTATTGATAATTTAGGAATCGCTCAATCAGAAAAAAACCTGAACGCAGATATTATGAGTTACTAGTATTGATTCATGTGATTTTCGATCCATTTCTTATAAAAAGAGGATTAATAAAAAACTTATACTAAGTACATAGAAATCATATACATTCGTTGTCATTATCAAAATAAAAGGCAAAACAATAAACGCATATTAATGATGAATAAAGATTATACGAGTCAGTATTCACTTACTGTCTTGTCTGGATTAAACAGTTGTAAACGATCCCATAAAGATTTACATAGATTAGGATTTTCCACTAGTGTTGGATTATACACAGATTCTGAATCTAAGATACAAGAGAGATAGAGAAAAATATCAGTGTAGAAATATATTATTTTTATATCCATTATAAAACAGTGAAACTTTATATGTTTTCCACTTGTAACATAGACTGTTAATAGAATTTCGATCTCAATTCTGCGAATACTTTCGTTTCTCAGTCTGAATCACTGATCGAGTAACCAATAAAATTCTACGAACTAAAAGACAAGACGTCTCAAATTACTCAATATTATGGAAAAAAGGACATTTACAGCGTCAACAACGCTGTCGAATTAAAAAACCCCATTGCAGCCATCGGCTAACGAGGTATCAATTTTTCGACACTAGATTTTGATCCATGCTGCTAAATTGTCAGAATAATCTATTGGTTAATTTATTTACCCGTTGAACCATCAATGAACATAAATTATTTAACCACTTTTTGACTGATTTTTGATTGTCTAGAAATGTACAAACGGAGTTCAATTTCTATCATATGATAATTATCCCAAGTTACACAACACACGTTGTCTTCTGTTTGTTTATGATGTATGGTTCTCGGAGTAAAAATCGTTTTGTTGTCAATTCGTGATGTGTTATTGCAAATCTGTTCTTATCACTATTTCAGTCCAGTCGATCACATTATAGTTCTATATACCTGATGCTACAGCAAAATGAAATCAATCTTCCAGAGAAAAATGGGTATCCTGAATAGCACGTTATAAAAAATATAAGATTGAAACCTTACACTACTTCACTTTCATAATTTCTGTTCAATAAGTTATAAATGTAGACTAATAAATTTTCTTTACTGTGGAGAGATGAAGTTATGTTTTACAAATATTGAAGAATGTTTAGAAATAGAAAGTTGTCTCCGATCAAATGGTTACGCTCGCTCAATTATGATGAAATAAATATACAAGAGAAGAAACATAAAACTATTCGAATCAACTTCAGAGGCAACCAAATTGCCAAAAAGATGAATAAAAAACTAAAGCAGTTTTATGTAGCTCATTTACTTAATCGAAATAGGTCCCAATATAGACAATATTAAACTCAATAACAGATATCAAGGTAAACAAATACCTAGCATATTAGACCTCCGACTTTATTCACTAATCTACATATATGTACAAAATCAAGTACATTGAAAGATATAGAAACAGGAATTTAAATGTTTTAATGTGTGTATTCTTAAGAACAGTCGTCTCGCAGACAGAAGCTTCATGTGCTTGATATGAAACATGAGGTGGGAAGTAGGTAATCCTTCAAAATAATCAGTACGCAATACAAATCCATCGTATTACTATTCACGGAAGTCATACAAATTAGAAAGATAAAAACAAACCTTCGGATTGAAAAAAATTCAAACGTTAAGCTCTAATTGTCTTCTTTAAAAAAAAAGGGGAACAATGTTAAAATAGAAATTTTCATCTTTTAAAAAAATCATGATTTTAACCTAAATTCTTGTTTAACCCTCTTAAAATGTTAACAAATTTTTATATTTTAAAACCATAACTGGAATCACCCGTAACAAAAAACTCATTACAATTTCGCCTTCTAAACAATCACTAAGAAAGTGTTTATTAAAATTAATGTAATAAAATGAGTATATATTTGATAAATCAGACCTTCCGTAGAAATTTTGAGTAGAAAAAATAATAGTAACTTACGTAAAATATCCCACCGAGGATTATATGTTGATACAGTAATTTCATTATCATGAAATATTTCTGGACAAATTGTTTTCCATCGAATAAAAATATTATTCAGCTGATGTCTTTTAAATACTTTCTTATGACCATATCCAAAATGAAGCAGTATTCGTAATTGGTTTTGCATTCAGCAGTATTTTTTTATTATAAAAAGTAGAGTTCAATAATTGATATAGTGTAGTGTAACCGATTCGTTAAGTGTTATTGTTCATGTACTCGATATTCGGTTTTTACGATGAGTGCGAGAGCTATTCAAACTGAAAGGGATAGGATAAAACTTGAAATTGTAATAGAAACGTTGATAAACAAGTGCTTTAAATACCAGACAATAGATTCACATAAGAAAATGTCTTATTCTGATATACAGTAATTTATGACTTTCCTTAGGAAATTAATCATATGAATATGCTAAAATCGTTTATTTTTAAATGAGTACGAGAATTGTTCAATGTCTTGAAATAAATCACTTAAACATTTTAGGTACTTTTTAAATGAAATCTAGCCAGAATGATAGAGGTAAATAATTAGTGCGAATTGCAAGTTAAACTAAGTCAAATGATATTCTCTATCATAAACAATTATTTACTCATATACAAAATGTGACAGTAAATGTCACAAAAAAATTTGTAATAACCATTTTAGCAAGAATAAATTCAGTTAACTCTGTATCATGGAAACACTTAAGTTGGTTGAAAATTCTATTCCTTGATTTTCTTAAAATATATTATCTGTTTACGATTGAAGAAACATGACATAAACGCAACCAAATCTTTCATTTTTTTTCAATAAGCACACTTTTTTCATAGGCAATTACTCAGTCAGCCAGTCAGTAACAACATAGGACTTCGTACGTACGTACATCTGTACGAGTTTCCATACCACATTAGCACACAAATACAATTATCGATCTAAATACCGTAGTGGTAGAGATAGTAAGAGTATAAGCTGTAATCGGAAAGATTAGGGTTTGAAGATGTTATTCAAGGAGTATAATCCAGAGGAATAAATTTGGAAAGCGAAAAAAGGGACATGAAGGAAATTACTAATTAAAAATGCTTTCGTTAATGCGTTAAAAAGTCTTCATTATGGGTTTTGGACACTGATCAATATCGATTGGAGAATTATTGAAATGTTATCCATTGCAGTGCGAAAACTTAATGGTCCAAAAGTTAAACGCATGTCATAAAATCTAAAAGGATTTGAGTCTGGTGCTTAGTACGGCCGTCGATGAGCGCACTGTTAAGGAGTTCAATACCAGGATAAAACAAGTACCTAGTGATTGTTGATAATTTTTTTCAAATTAAACTAATCTCCACAAACTTCTGAATCTAACATAATAGAAGGCGCAAATCTAAACAAGATCAAGAAAGTGGAAATATCATAGTCAACATGGAATGTTGCAAACCGATGTTTTATATAACATTTTGAAGCCGACTCAATGTAATTTTAGTTATACCTTTACTAATGTACATGCACAATTTTTGGTTATTATTGCCTTTTTGATTGTACTTTATTTGACAGGATTTAGTTATGAATGAGGAATATATAAAATATTAATCAATTGTAAATGATCGATTAGTAAAATTTATATATCCCATTTATAAAATGGATTTATTTTTGGGAGGGAAAATTATTTTATGGTGACATATATAAAGTTGATATCAAAAAGCGATAGTCTATACGAAGATTACTATTAACCTGACGTGCTTTCATTTCAGTTAATCATACATGCATGGTATAAACAAACACATTAGATATCATTTAAAAATTTGCAGTATAATCGAAATACTTTATTTGCGCAAGTTAACAGAACAACAAAATAAAACATTGCAACAATTGAATGCGGTAGGAAAGTCAACCAATTTGAGGGTGAAACGAATGTTTACTGGTGACAATGGATGATGATCGAGAATTCCACGAACCTGAAATTATTAGATGTGTTGCATAATCGCAAAAAAAAACATCTTCCCAGTGTTCTCTGGTTTATAGTTTTTAAAGTACTACATAGTTAAATTAATCTAACCTTCAAAAGTTCCTTATCTTCTTAGATTGTTATGCATACGTAAATCTAACCTAGTAGTGAACAATAAGGACTTACTTTGCTCAGGTAATAATATCCCATGCAGGTGAAAAGAAAACAAATGGGTACAATCCGAAGCCTACTTTAAAAAAATGTAATCAAAATAGATGACAGGGTAGGCACGAAAACAGATTTTACGATAACTTATCAGAAACAGCACACCATTCACCACATGAGGATCGTCTCTTCCAATCATCCAAGGAGTCAATATCAAAAGTCATAAGTTTACAGACGCTTGCTTAACCTTCATCAAGAAATATCCTCAATGTAATGCTATTATTTTTAACGTCAATTATCATACAAATAAACAGCAATCAAATACTTCTGATTTTCTGGACTTGTACAACTCTCGTTAGACATTTTTTAACATACTTTTTAAAATCCACATCAGTTATTTACTTTGTTAGACAGTAACTGAAAATACGGCAACGACTATCATCCATATTATGACAGATCATAGTTACGAATTATAGTTGAGCTTGCTCGATCTAAATTAATGATGAGTTTTATTTATAATGTTAGGTCACAATCCTTAAAAGACTCTGAAATTAGTCAATCAAGTCCTATTGCTTTTCTTAGCTCTTAATTTCTCTAGATCACTAAGGGTTTAAAATCCAATATCCGTCTCTGGATGAGTGTGAAGCGAAAAAAAATAGTTACGAACATAAAGTTGTTTGGTTTTATAGTACTCAACACCCAGCACTGAAAATCTAAAACAAAGACATGTATGTAATTTCGAGTTATTCTCCTTACAAACTACTCTTTTTGTATAAAGGCAGACTAGTTGGAGATGCTGACCACTTATGAAAAAGCCTTACTGCTGTTACACCTCGGTACAGACGGTAGTATAACTACATCTTTTATGCCCAATAGCTGTGAACTTCTGACCCTCAGAAAGGTATGTAGATTCGCTTAATAGACCTAGTTGCAGTGGAAAATTTTAGGCTTTCAACAGATAACCATTTCATTTTAACTATCCTTCAATTTCACCATAACGGAAGACTGTTCGACTGATTGCATAAGTAACACAATCATGCCGCAAAATAACGTTAGCCATGGCAGAGCACAAATTATGAAGTCATAAAAGACATAAGAAAATAGTTGATAAGTATTTGCTAGACAAGTGATTCTACTTAAAAGTCTGTAAAAAAACGATTTATTTTTAAAAAACACACATATTTTTACACTACACAGAGAAAATGTCAAACGGCTTACTGAAACTAACAATTCCTTTCAACAAATCGAAAAATTAAAAAGAGTAGATGCATTAAAATGACAATTTATTTCATAATATGGAAAGTTTTTCACGTATTTATAAGGAATATGGAATGGAAGTATAAACCTACAACATCCATTAATAGATAAATAAAAGATATTTACATAAGTGTATCATATACAATTAATTAATTGGACGTAGTTTATAATCAATTACAATAGGTGATGATGTGGATAGTGTAGAATTCTTCTTGAATGATGATTCGCGTGCAGCATCCAATAGAACATTGATAAGATAACGATCTTGAAATGGTTCTGGATTTAAACTTCGTCCAACTATACCATGACCACGAACGGGTGGCCATGGATTTCCGTGCAATTCCAGTATTCCATATAATTTAGTACCACTAGATTTTATTGGATGAACAGGAGGAAAAATCTGATACAAACTAGTGTATGCGCGTTCATACAACCGGTATCTTGGTACAAATACCTGAAACGAAAATAATTAAAGCATATATTATATAGTAATATACACCAAAAAGTATTAACAGGAAAAAAAGATTAATTACCACAGAGCTTATATGTAAATTTTGTGAACAGGTTCTAGTTGTAAAGTGAATAAACAAATTAATTGGTCATATTTGGAGCTTAATAAATAAACTATCTAGTATTTGCACCAAAACTAACTGACCACTAATACCTTTATGTAAACTTGGACTGTAAAAAAACACTCCATAGAACACCGTGTATTTTGTTTTGTTTTACAACTTCCGATAGCTGGAAGTGATAATCATTGTAAAACAGAAAAGAACTCATCAATGAATAACACTTTCCAAAAAGTTAAGTACAATAAATCTCAGAAATCTGACTTTAATGTTGAGCAATAAATTCATAGATATACGAATAAATAAACTTATACGTTTTATTGAGCTGACCATCGAGACTAGGAAACTTTTGATTTATATAAACCATATAACCGACAAACGCTTTAAAATCCGTATCTCAGAACGGATAAACAACACTAGCCAAAACTGAATCAATCCAATCTATGTACGACGTTCCTGAGACAAACATGCAAAATGCAAGTATATTTATTGAGTTAAACTCAACTAAACAGCGTCATAATTCGATACGACTACTTTTCTGTAGACAAGAATATTGTCCTGGGCTTGATGACTCTGGAATTTCAGACGTCAACTCTTCGTGCTTTGTTAAAATCGATTTCGCGGGCGCTTAGGGGGTCAGCTACAACGTAGGACCAGGCACATATATGCATCGGTCCAACTTACCACACCTCATTAGCTTCGAGACCATTCAAACCGTTTCTCGTGACGCTCCTAGTAGGTTTCTAATTGTTCAAAACGAACGTTCATTGTAGTTTCTTCCATTCCCACCGATAAGTCTTATAAGTGAATGCTTGAATCGGTTTCCTAATTTCTTCTAAAAATCCCAAGCTAAATCTACACAGTAACTTGAGCACAAGAAAAAAAGCACGAAGTGCGAAAAGAACGCTTTACTCCAAGGTTAGTTTATGTATAGAAAAACTAGGGTGTTTACATTATTTCAAACAGCCCTGGGCTTCAGAAAAGTTTCTGGAACCATATTAAATATAGTAGAAGCATAGGTAATTATTCAATCAAAAACGTGACACTTGACTCCTCATTTTATAGATGCTTCAGTTCAAAACTGACGGGGTAAAATGTTCCCCAGAGTTTTACGGACCCCTACGTGCCTTTGCGAGAAATATTCTGGATCTCCCCAACAATGAATGGCTCATTATTATTCGACATTTTCAGCCCCATTTTAAATAATCTTATCAAAGTTAGTCA